ACAAACGGAAGGTGGGATTTTTCAGGAGACTGTCACATTTGGAAAATTCCACCCCTAGTGAATTAGTCAAAAAGTCCAGCATATCAGAGTATTGATTAAAGAAAATCAAGAACAGTTCAGATAAGTGCTATGTGATAAGTATGTGTTTTCATAACAGTTGACATAGCATTTCATTGTATCATTGCTTTGTGAAATACTTAGCCACCCCCATAGGCTGGCTACCTATATATCATTATGCCTCAGCCCAGGATTTTTAAGGTACTGGAGGAGCACCATGGAAAACCACAGAATTAGTCCTTTTATGAAGCATGTTTGAAAGTCTTTTTATTTCAGACAGTCTTTGGGCAGCATCTTGGTTGTGCTTTAATTACAATATTTCACTCTCCTATAGGGCCATCCATCCAAGGGTAGTCTTTCATGAATTTAGTTCCAGACTGGTCTTTTGCTGTCTGTCATTACTGTTCTCTCCCAATTTGCAGATAGAGGGGCAGAGGTTAAGTGACTCTCTCTTTAATCCATACAGCTAATACCAATAGTGAATATTTTATGTTTTTATTGTTGGAAGGGATTTGTACCATGGAAACTGCAGAAAGTCAGTGAGTAGTATATTGCTTTGGGTACACAGGTATTAGCCTGTAGTTCGAAAACCAGAAACAAATGGAAATACTTTCCCCTCCATCCTAGTTAATTCACTGAAAGAACCTTCTGCTGGTTTCCAAGATTTGCTCTTGAATTTGTAATTTGTCAATTGTAAATCCATTTGTGCAAAACCTTTTAAATCACTGATGGAAAACTACTGGTAATGATTTTTATTGACCTAAGAGAAATATTCATATAGAGCAATTTTGAATGGATTCTGCCTTACCATATAGCTCATGCTCTTCAGACTCTTGCTAAGCATGGTTTGTTTGGGCCTTTTCATTTCTCTAATGGGAGGCTACCATGGGAAATCCAGGATGCTGAAGTAGTTCTGATGAGTTGGCCATGTGAATCTGTCCTGACCAATGCCTCAGCATGGTAATAAGAACATTGTGTTGCTAAAGCAGTGATCATTCCTATTTTAAAAAAACAAAACAAAAACACCAAGCCTGACCTTAACCACTCCTGGCCATTAAAAATCCCTTGACACCCTTCTCAAGAGCAGGGGTGCTAGCTCTGAAGTTGTAGCCAAGTGGGCTAATCCTATTCCAGTTGCCAAACATCTGCAGTTTTAAATGGATTTGGGTTGTGTTCATTTCACTGTGTCATTCATTAAACTGTTGCAACCTAGGACTTCACACACCATGGCCATTTGGAATGTCATGGAGACTATTGGAACAGAACTTCCTGCTCCAAAATTGCATACCTCTGGAGACAATGGGCCGTATACTACTAACAACTGTTAGTAGTATACGGCCCATGGTTTACAGTGGTGTAGGTCTGAGTCTATCGAGTAAGCAGTATATGGCCCATGGTTTACAGCGGTGAAGGTCTGAGTCTATCCAGTAGAGTGCAGTGGTACACACACTGAACGATTTATTACTAAAGTTCTAAACTACTGCAGAAAATTTCTAATCCACTTAACTGTTGGAAAACAATAGCTGGTCTCACAAACTTCTTGCCATAAGAAATCTTAAGCACTTATTTTCATTTTCAATAGAAACTCGCTTTTTAAAAAATTATTTGCATTATATGTTGCAGAGAGATCTATGGGTAATTGTGCATTTTATTTTGTTAGCTTTATGATATTGGTGACAGCAGAAGGAGATTATGGTGGTTTATATCAGAGCAAATTTATAATTAACTTTTTTTCCTTCTTTGGGCAAAATCTCTAAAGAGAGAGAGTCGGGGAAGCTTCTACCAATTTCTTGCATCTGCAAACTTGCAATGGAAATTCACAAAAATAGGCTTTCTTGCAGGTTAGTCCAGAGGGGATTACGCTGATTTAGAAGCATCCCCCATGCTATTTCTGCTCATGATCACTGTCTTCCAAATTGATCAGAAGAGGGGGAGAGTATATTGGGACCTCCATTTATGTTTGAGAATGCTTAATACATATATTGTGGCCCAGAAATTATAAGCTTGATGAGGAAGGAATTGTCTTTGTATGGCACTTAGCACAAAGGGGTCTTGATTTTCTGATTGGGGTCCCTAGCCACACTGTCATAACAGAAATGGACTGACTTGAATCAATAACCTGTCTCGGTACACTAACATGTGCCTCTTACGTGAGCATATATTTGGATTAGAAATGGAGTGTGATTCTGTTTGTCTAAAATCAAGGCATGCAGTCTGCATGTTAAATAGTGAAATAACTGAAATCTGTCTTTGTTTCTGTTTGTTGGCTGTTACATAAAAAGGTTTTTCTTATAAATTCAGTCCATTTATGTGGCTTTTCCCACATATGAACCAGAGAAGTTATAATCAAGACCATAATAACTATGAAGTGAATGGTTAAAAGTAACTTCTGATTTGTTTTGGCATTGACTGAATGTAGGACTTGAAACAGCTGAATGAAGACAAAATGATAATTTAAACGTAATGTGAAGTGTTGGTTTTGTCTAAAACATGTAGCTTCCAACTCCTCCCACGGTCACAACAATTACCTATTACTCTGAAGTGAGTCAAGGCTTAGCAACAGCATATGGGACAAAGTAATCAAGATTTGCATCAGATAGGAAGAGTCTTGTTTCTGGCACGTTTGTTTTCAGAATCAGATATGTTTGAATATCTGTCCACATTATGGAAATCCAGCCTATTTTAGTCGTTTAACAGTAGCCATGAAAGAGACTTGCATATTTTGGACTCTTGAGAAAATACTTGCAGAACATGATGCAATCTAGGCAACTGCCTTCTCTTTGATCCTTCACAATAAACGTATTATCATGTTCCAGTTCCATGGAAACACAAAGTGGACCAAATTCATGTATTTAAGTCCATTGACTTCAGTGAGCTTACAGCAGGGACAAATTTCATCCACTGAATTTGTATAGCTCAAAAATATCCAACAGAATCCCAGTGGAGATAAGTAGTAAAAATATGTAGACAACATAATGTTCCACCTCTTCATACTTCAATTGAAATGAGCCCTAGCTCACAAGTGATGAGAAGTTTAGCGGACTCATCCTAGTCCATAATACAACTGGATACAGTGTCTGGGCTTGAGTGATGGAGCTCATTGTACATATCAAAGGAATACATCCCTTAAAGCAGGGGTTCTCAAACTGGGGGTCGTGAGGTGGCTATGTGGGGGGTCACGAGCTGTCAGCCTCAACCCCAAACCCCGCTTTGCTTCCAGCATTTATAATGGTGTTAAATATATTTAAGTGTTTTTAATTTATAAGGGGGGTCAGACTTAGAGGCTTGCTATGTGGAAGGGGTCACCAGTATAAAAGTTTGAGAATCACTGCCTTAAAGCATCAAGAATAGGGAGATGGGTAATTCTGTTCAGACTGACTCACTGGAAAGGGTTAATTCACAGCAGGAATGTGTGGGAATTACAAAATCACAAATTCCCCCCGGATCTGGAAATTATTTGAAATTTGTATATGGTGGTTAAATGAATTAATCGACTTTCTGGTAATACTAATGCAGCATCTTTAAGAGGCAGATGATTCACTGCGCCAGAGCAGTGTGTGGTTTGTACCACTTAGACTAGTGCTCAGACTGTCTTGGGAACTGGAGCCTTGTCATGTCTCTGGATTTGGATGATTCTCAGTGATTGCCATTGGAGGGGAGAACTAAAAAGAGGTCAATGGGCCTAATGCTGTTGAGTTGGTGGAAAAAAGGTTAGTCTGTGAATTTAGCAAAACCATCAGTCCTGGAAGAAACTGTGGAGCAAGAAAATTAATTCAAGAAAAATACAGTCCTATCTATGACTTCAAAGTAACTACGGCTATCTATCTGCCACTCCAGTCTGTCTAGTGTCCTGTTCATCGCAGCATCAGAGCATCAACTCATTTTGGGCTAAGGCTAACATATCCAAATTCCACTGAATTTCTATAAGCAAGGTAGAGCTGTGGGCTACAGATAACGGGCCATATGCCATTGTTTCACATGTGGAACTCCTTTAAAATAAACCAAAATGTCATCCAAATACAAATAGAAAAGGATTGACCTGACAGAGTGGATAATATTGTAGATATATTGTGATCTTCATCTTAGATTGTTCTTAAGGAGACTAGGTGTTTTGCACTCATGTTGTTCTAAAGAAAGATATTGATAATACTTGCCAGTGGATCTAATTATTTAAAAAGCCGTGCAGACTGGACGCCATGCTAGGGGATTTCTGTAAGGAGAACAGATATCCAGACAGATTGGATTCTGAAAACAAGATATCACTTCTCAAAAAAAGCTTAGCTCTGAAAAATGGTGAAAAGCCAAGAGTGATTAAGCAAAGACATCTATAGGGGTCAACATTTGAGAGAGGGGGTTCCCCCCACTGGTAAATTGCCCACTGTACTGGATAGGGCGGGCCTTGTTTCTTATTTAATGAAGATGGTGTTTCTAATAATCTGTAAATCAAGTAAGATAAATCTATTTTTGATTTGCAAGCTTTGCTGTGTTTTAAATATATCCTTCTTTGAAGAATACCCTGAGAGTCGCAGTCTTCAGACAAGGATTGATGGGATAAGCTATTGACTGTTGGAAAGACATTGGGCAGCAGTTTAAAAGAGAAAATGATCCAGACTGTTTTAAAAAGACCTTGGTGGTTTCTCGTGTGTGTATTTGTGTGTACACATACCAACATTTCTGCCTCCATCTTTCTTGAATGCCCCTAGACAGAGTAACTAAGGGATTCTCATTCAACCAATGGATTGTAGAGTATTCGTTTCACTGGTTTATTTCCCTAGCCTTTTACATTCAAATTCTCTTCTGCCCAAAGCACTCCCTTTGACAGCCACCAAAACCCTGTTGGAATCAATGCGTTGCTCTAAAATCCACAGGGTGGCTTCTTAGCCATCAGTCACAGTTATTTTGTTGTTTCTTCTGCTTTTAATGAAAGGGAGCCGGGACTGGCAGCGCCTCTCTGCGGAGCTACGTACACAGGCGATTCGGGAACATCCCGGCTGCAGTCTGCAAGCGCGGTCCGGCTCCGCTCGCCCCTGCCCTGAACGCTGACGCGCCCCGCCCGCCAGGAGTCAGGTTCAGACGGGCGATGGCTTCTCGGCAACTGCGGAGCAGCGCCCCCTGGCGTCCCTCTCAGCACGCGGACGAGCGGCATGGCGAGGGGAGAGAAGAAAGCTTTGCAAAGTGACAGCAAAGCCTTGGGAGATGAACTGACGTTTGCAGCCATTGAATTGCGATTTTCCTTCTTGCAGCGGTTCCCCACCTCTCCTTCCTCCCAAGCACACGCTGTCACCTCGCCGGTCTCTCGTTTGGCTTGGTTCCTAAGGCAGTTTGGTTGCAGGGCTTTACGCTGCACCCCCCCCCCCCCTTTCCTCCCTGCCTTTGAATCTGAATTGGTTTGTTTTGCAGTTAAAGCCTTTCCTTTGATTTCTCTCTCCCCCCCCCCCCCCATCCTTTTCTGCTGCGGGCAGGAGGCTCTTGCTTAGCTGGGGATCGCATTTCCCATCTCTCCTTCGCAGCCAGAAACTTCGGAGCAGGCGGAGCCGCAGCTTCGACTCGACTGATCCTTGGAAAATTACGAGTTAGTGGTTTGGGGTTTTGTTTTTGGGCTCTTTTTTACTTCAAGGGCTGCAGCTAAGTGATCTCTTTGGATTTCACTGGTGAATTAAATCTGAGTCCAGAGCCCTGTCTCTCTGGCCCCATCCGTGTAGCTGGTTTCATGGAAAACTTGTAAATTATCATTTGGTTTTAATTATTGGTCCCTCCTCTCCCCGTCTCTGTCTCCTCCCCCCGCCCCCAGTTTTTTTTTTCTTTCTCTCTCTCTCTGTTATATTACTCCATTTGGTAGGGCGATTCTCAGTTTTCTTGGGCTAGATGGTATCTCCCGGCTGCCCTGAGAGATTTGATGACACCCCTCTATTTTTTCCTTTTCTCAGAAAATAAAGAGCAGTTGCCAAGGTCATAGAGGGCCAAGAAATGATCATAACCCTGGAGAGTATAAATATTGGTGGCGAAGTTCTGTGAGAACAGCATTCATCACTACCAGCTGTGCTGAGACCTTAGCATTCATTGCACCTAGGGACAGTTGTCACTTCCCTCCCTCCCTTCCTGTTTTCATATTTAAAATATATAATTTATTTTCCACAAGCAGGTTTTGAGGAGTTTTGGCTTCTGGTGGACTTGCAGATTTTGAGAGGTAAGTGTTAAATTTTAACACCAGATTTTTGACACTTGTTTTAAACCTTTTGTTGTGTGTAACAAAAATCTCAGTGTTACAGATGTAGACGTTTAATAACGTCTCCAAAAGATTGCGTGTGATGCCAAATTGCACTTTAATAGTAAAGTTCCATTTATAAATAGTTCATAAGAGGTTAACAAAGTAATAGATGTTGTTACATAAATAGCATTACTAGGGTTATAGATGTTCTAAGCACATAAGTGGAAAGTGTCATTGATAATTGTAATCAACCAGTAGACCTGTTGGATGCTATAACCTCTAATAATTGACTGACCATTTATTAAAACATCTACTGAGTGTTTCTTAAACTTTTATAAACTATTTATATAAACTATTAAATATAAGTTATATTTATCTAAATATATATTTATCTATGAATCTAAACTGGGTCTGTGACTAAACCTTCAAATACTAGTAGAACGAGGTAACTTCTGTTAACAGTTTAAAAAAACAACTTTTAGAATGGCTTTAGGTAGAAACTCACCCTCTTGTATTACACTAGAGTGGATGATGGTAGATCCAGACATTTTACCTCGACCTTGAAAACACAGATTTTACAGTTTTAGGCGGTAAAGATGACAACGTGTTCTAAGTCACAGCATTTGTAATTTCACTCTGAATATTCTGCTGGGATTATGTTTGTAGAAAAACCCAACAACATTGTAAAGCCTCAAATATGTGCATGTTGGCTAAAAAGACAAGGCTGCATACACAAAATATACAGTGGGCATAGTGCTTGAATCTTGAGTTTATGTATGTGAGTGAAAATCTGATCCACCACGGGCTCTGCTTTGCTGGTTTTGAGTTGTTGCTGGCATCCTATGTTAACTCTTGCATTTGCCCATTTCCTCTGCCTTCTCTGTGTATAGTATCCCGTGGCGCTGCAAATATTTGCAGTAATAGCATGTATAATCAGGAGAATAATCCAACCATTTTAATATTTAACTTGGGGGCATTTTAGAGATCAATAACAATAAAGCATTTTAAGGTCTGGTGAGGACACCACACTGAGGCTGACTTTGTCTGTTTGCCTGTGGGTTGAGTAGGGAGTTTTGCATGGCAGCTTCTAGAGGTTACCCGTGCTTCTACTGTCTGAGATCACAAGCTATCCATTAGTCTAGGAAGTAACTTTTTGTCAACGGTCTTTTCAAAGCCCATTTAAATATGACCTCTTCAGATCTCAGAAAATACTTCTTCCTTTGTCCCCAGTTGAAATACAGTAACTCCTTGCTTAACATTGTAACTATGTTCCTGAAAAATGCCACTTTATGCGAAATGATGTTAAGCGAATCCAATTTCCCCATAAGAATTAATGTAAATGTGGGGGGGTTAGGTTCCAGGGAAATTTTTTTTCACCAGAGAAAAGACATTGTATACATATATAGTATAAGCTTTAAACAATTTAATACTGTCCACAGCAATGAATGATTGCGAAGCTTGGTTGAGGTGATGGAGTAAGAGGGTGGGATATTTCCCAGGGAATGCCTTGCTGCTAAATGATGAACTAGCACTTGGCTGAGCCCTCAAGGGTTAACACACTGTTGTTAATGTAGCCTCACACTCTACAAGGCAGCGTGGACTGAGGCAGGAGGGAGGAAACACAATAGATGCAGGGCAGTCACTGCAAACACTTCCCTGCAAAAACTGACATGGTAATAAGCCCACGTGATCCAGCTGGAGTGCACCACTCCCTCCTCCTGACGGCACATGGACGGCTGCACAAGTGCTGACTTTCCAAAGTGCTGGAGTGAGAGAGAGAGAGAGGTGCATTACCCCTTTAATTCTGCTGACCGCACTTCAAGTATGTTGCCCTTTTAAGCAGATCAGCCAGTTCAGACAAGAAGCAACAGCTTCCAGCAAGCTCCCTCCTTTCTGTCCCCGAGCCCTGTCCCCCTCCTCCTCTTTGTGGAGAGGGGGTATGGAGCAGGGGGACATCCTGATATCAGCACCCTTCTTCTCCCCTTCCCCCAGCAAGCAGGGAGCTCCAGGGAGAAGCTCCAAGGCAGAGGGCAGGGCAGGAGCTGCGTGGCCACCTGAACTGCTGCTGAGCAGCTGCTGAGCCACATACCTTACAGGGAATTTAGGGGAGCCGATGGGGTAGGGGGGCTGCTGGCCCCCCTGGTTCTAATCCCCACAAGAAAGGGCTGCTCTTCCAGAGAATCCTGCAAACAGTGGACAAAGCAGGTGGCTGCCAAAGGACGTGATAAGGGAGCATGGCACAACTTTCAACGAGCGTGTTCCCTAATAGATCAGCAACAAAACAACCTTAACCAGGACAACGTTAAGTGAGGAGTTCCTGTATATTTGGCCGGTGAGATGCCTTCACGTCTGAACGTTCTGGAGGCAGTTTCTGCCGATTCACTGGTTTCTGATCAGTCCCAGATGTTACCATGGCATCGATACCATGAGCCTGATGCGCTTGAAAAGAGGTCATAGAAATGCTTTCTCCCCGTCCCCTGAATAAAGCAAAGTTTAGTCAGCTGAGACAGTGGTTGAGGAAGCTATCAAACTTCCAACTCGCACACCACGTGCGTCCAAAGAGTTTCCACCATTGGGATGCCAGTGATCTGGTCGCTGTCAGTGAAAGGCTACTAGACAAGATGGACCCTTGCCATCTTATAAATAGGGTAACTACCTACTATACTGGCATGTTTATTTCCCCCCCCCCCCCCCCACCCACTGGCACTCCCTCCATTTCACTCATCGTTCCATACCCTCTTTGGTATGCTGGAGAGTTATTTGTTCAGATAATTCCCTTCACCTGGGAAACTGGTGCAACTGAATGTCTTTGGGCCAAGTTCTAGCCCCATTGAAATTAATGTCAAACCTCTCCTTGATTTCTAATTGAAATCAGTGATCCTATGGATGCACATTCACAGAGGATGCAATGGGTGATTTGTCTGGTCTAAAAGCACAGAGTGCTGGAAATGATACTTCCCCCCCTACCTGAAAGTCAAGTACTTGAAGCAGGGACTGAATACTTAGTCCACGAACATTAAAACTAGGTTTCAAGGCAGCCCAGTTGGGGAGAAGGGATCATGCTGTTAATTCACAAGCAGAGGAGAGGACTCAGAGAATAATGCACCATCTGTTACACTGTGTTGATTAGCAGCTGAAAGGGCTTGAGCAAAGTAGCCAAGGGTCTGTTGAGGACTTGACATGTTGACTTCATCGAGTAGTAACAAGTTTGGTATGTCTCTGGGCTGTCAGATGATTCAGCTGATTCTCAAGTTACAATTTCTTGTACCTGCACTGTGTGGCGGACGGGGCCCCTGGTTAGAAAAGGGAGTAAATCTAGGTCAGTAGGTATAGCTATGCCAGCTGTCTGCTTCTCTCCACCATACCCTAAGAAGCAGGCTGCATTTAAAATTCCTCATAATAAATAGCCACGGCAGATCATCTTTATTTAAAACCTCTTAGGGAAGTATCTGAAAGTAGGAATTGTTCCCTGACTTGGGCCAGATGGTCTACAAAAGTAACAGCTCATTTCCCACCTAGCCAGTTAGGCTTCATTTATGGAGGGGTTTGTGCCAGCAAACAATGCCGAGAAGAGAACGAGGTTAAAACAATATTTATCTTTTAAAAAAATGGAAATTGTGTGCCTTTAAGGATCTTACTGGCCTAATTCAACCTCTATTTAACCAATGAAACACTGAATGGGGATGACGCTTGCATGTTACACTGCCTCTATAAAGCAAGGAAGTATTCTAGTGAAGTAATTAAGACATTTTCTTTGCATGGCATTATCGTGATCGCCATTGCTTTAGCAAAGCCCAGCTCAACTGCTTAACACTTTGCTTAGGAAAAAGTATTAGTGGTTGTTTGTTTGTTTGTGCCACAGTAGCACCTAGAAGACTCAGTCAGGGATTTGGGCTACATTGCGCTAGACACATGCTGGGACAACATAGGCCCTGGGCTCGATTTTTAGGGGGTTGACGCTCCCCTTGACTTCAACTGGAGTCTTGGGAGCTCAGCACCTCAGAAAATTAAACCCTTTACGTTTTGCATTCTGAGCATTGTCCTCATCAAAATAATTGCGTGCTGGATCTGTACCCCTGCCTAAAAGGCTGTTGTTGACACCTGGCTGCATTTCCATTAGATTGGAAGCAAAATATTTCTAGATTTAAATATAGAGCATGCTCTGATTTATGTTTTTCCACCATTAAAAGCAGTTCTGCTGTCCCCTTAAAGACATAACACTCTGCAAGAAAGAAAATGAACCACCTCTTCCAAACACATTTAACGCTATCAAGCCATGAATGCCCCTGCTTCAGAACACCCAGTGGGGGAAGATGTAGCGGTAATTTGCTATGCTGTAAATTTAAACAGTAAAATCTGCAGAACCGTCACTTAAAGAAAATATTTGGGGGCCTATTCAGGAAGGGGCTCTAACTGCTATCACACAAAAGGCTGTTTAAAATGACAGCATTAGGGATAGTTTTGACGAGGGAAAGACTCATCTCTTGGAATATTCCCTCTTTGTAGAGCTGCCCTGACATACAGTTGTTCCCGTTGGCATGGTGGTTCCCAGATTGCAAGCCTCATGGAATAACACTGGAAGTCCTTTATTCACCACTTTGGTTTTATGAAGAGGGGACTGGATAGTTCCACTGTTGGATGTGCAGTGTGAATGTTTAAACCCTATTACGTATTATTCCTATGATGGTAGCTATTACCGGTCCCACTTGAGATCACAGCAAACTGGACAAACCTCTAGTAAGAGACAGCATAGGATCTATATAAGCCCAGATAAATGGCCCTCAGGTGAGGGAGTAAGTGTGGACTATTAATGAGGAGAATCAGGGTGGAGAATTTGCTTGAAGATTACAGGTGCGTCTGAAGGAAGGGACAGAGAGGGGGCCTTGCAATTGAGGACATGGATGATTAAGGCTGGAGATTCAAACCATCATCAAGTCAGCACATTTAAATTTAGGGCCAGCCATTCCTCTCTGGTTAACCCTCCCCATTAAAGGCAGGCTGACTCATGGCAACCGAGCAGTGCAGAAGTGGTTCCTGTTCAAGAGGAGGAAGGGAAATCTACTCCGGCTCCTCTCCTAATCTGTAATAATTCATATAACTGGCTGCACATCTGTCTCCAGCTAAGTGCAGTAACAGCGTCAGTGAGAACACCCCAGTGCGTCACTTGCAGACAGGAATTTTGATTGCTTTGATATTACGATGACATTTTCACATAAACATACAGAGATTCTGGGAGCTGGCAGCTGGCTCTGCCTGAGTCTATTGGCAGGCGGAGGCCTCTGAAATAGCTGTAGTTCATGTCTGACCTCTGTGACTTGGCTGCTGGGGAAGTTTGCTTTCCCTTTTGTTAGGATCTGTTCTCCTCCTTTAAGGACGATACTTGGAATAAATAATGTGTCATTGCTCACCCTGCATATGTGAAAAGGCACAGCTTGGATTATGTGATGGTTTAAGGGCCTGGGGATTGATTCACCCTGATGGATACAAATTACAGCTCAAAGGGAATCTATATATACTCCAAAGGAAAATTCAATTTTCCCCATCTGCCTTTATGGGCGTTCCATGGCTGTCCGGGCAATGCTCCGCCCCCACACAGTCCCACCCATTTTTGGAGCTACATTGGGTCCCTCTAGATTCTGCATGTGGAATGGGCTGCAAAGAGGTTATGAGCACATAACATTGGTGCAACTCTCTCTTCCCTCCAGGGTGGGCATGCTGGAAGTAGGTGCAGGCAAAAAGATTGGCCTTGCAAAATTCATGTGCAACGGCATATCTAATTAGTTCATATAACCCCAATGATTGTATGTGCAAATTGAGTAATGGTATGTGGAAGAGGATAGATGTGGAAAAAGAGAGTATTCAGCATGAGATCTAGATAATGCCTAATTTAAGAAGGAAATAGGACAGAGCATCCTATCTGTGACGTGGTAAACATTGAGGTTCATCACTGCTGTGTAGGAGTGAAAATAATTCATTTAACTTTCAAATTTACATCGCTCCTTTATTGTGCAAAAACCAGAATCCAAGGCCTCTTGCCTCTTTGGAAATTCTATGGGATGTCGATCTTCTTTAGTGGTAGGTTAAGTGACTGTTTGTTTCCCGCCTGAATTTCAGATCTGTACGGAGCAGTAGAGCTGCCTTTGAGAAAACCAGAGTGCTTCCATCTTCTTCATCTCGACTTCCATTGAGTAGAGAATGACCATGAGTCCTGCCCTGTCTTTGTTCCTCCCTCTTGGATGTTTACTGGTTTTGATGCACGAAGCGCAAGGCTTTTTCTTGCCCAATGGCACGCAGTTCGAGAGCATTTTGAGCAGATATCACTCCAGAGCCAAGAGAGCCATTCCAAGGTCAGACAAAGAGGAGATTTTGATGCTTCATAACAAGCTGAGAGGTGAAGTCTATCCTTCAGCCTCCAACATGGAATATATGGTGAGTTCAACTACCGGTACTGAAATTTGTGTGACCACTGCAGTTTTTCTGGCCAGAGGACGGTAACAAATTCTGCTAGTGGTTTCCTGGTGCCATCTTATGCCACTGAATTGTTTTTGTTTGAAGGGTCCATTAGTGGGTCAGCTAGTCCATCCCATTGCATAGTTTCAGGACTGATTTCATTATTCATAAAATATCCTCAATACTGTCTAGTCTAGCCCTGAATGCCTCCATTGATGGCAATTCCACAACCTCCCTTAGCAGCTTATTCCATACCTAAATGTCATCAAAGTACCCCATTTTCCCTAACATTTAATCTCCATTCTCCCTGTTGAAGCTTCAGCCGATTAAGACTCTGGCATTGTGGGATGCCACTGTCTGCACAGAGAAGCCACACCAGCCATCTCTGAGAAGCATTTACTCACCTACAGGAATCACGCCTTTGCCTGCGGTTCTTTGGATTGCCGCAGTTATGTCCCAGTGCCTCTGGTGATATGCTAACACCGCCAATTCTCATTGACTTCAGTGGGAGTTGAAGATGCTCAGCACCTTGGGAGGATCAGGATTTCTCCATCTGCAATATAGGCCCAATCTGTTAAAATCTTTAGAAAGACTCCCACTGAGGTCAGTGGTAGAGGGATTGGTGGTATTTGATGGTTTTTTTCCCCCTGAGCTCAAGGAACCAAAATACAATCTTGGTCAATGTGTACTCTCACTTCAGAGAGAGCCCTTGAAAAGTCTAAGTGTTACATGTGTCTTTACCAGCAGCAGCAATTAAGATGACTACATTTTCACCATAGAGCTTTCTATACAGGCTATTTCTGGGGTGTCTTCAAAATATTGTGGAATCAGAGAACGACAGAGGGTAATAATTTTTGTGCATTTATCTCTCCTGCAAATATTGTTACTGCAAAAATAGCACCAATTTGACAGTCTGTCGGTCTCTGGATTGATTCAGTGAGCTGGTAATGGAGACCGTGTACAGAAAGGATTTATGTGATATAAAAGGCATCTTTTATTAATAATACCTTTTGCCATTTAACTGGATGCCATAAATGTAAAACTCTGTCTTAAGAGAACAGCGAGGAAGAGTAAGGGAGAAGAGGTAGAAGTAAAGACAGATGTAATATTGCATCAGCTCTTTAGATAAGCCTTCAGAGTGCCAGGTTCCTTGCTATTAGTCATTGCTGCTTTGTCAGTGAGAGAGAGTTACAGTCCCTCCTAAGAATTGTTTTACTGTATCACTGTTGTTCAGAAGACGGCGATATTCTGCGGGCTGCCTGTAAGATACTGCAAGGGAAGATGTGGCTTGATTGATTCCAAGAAAGTAAACACAAAGCAATGCAAGAAAGCCAAATGTATTTTCATTGGCTTTGGGGATTTAAAAGTGCTTCAACTGTGTAGTGTTCACTGGCTGACTTCTATTTACTCGTCCAGGATGGTTACTGTTTTATGTTTGTCTTAGCTCAGTGTGCTTTTCTAGTGGTTTTATGGGAGACTTTATACAAATGAAAGAGCCTTGTATGCTGTGAAGAAAGAAGCTGGGTATAAATTGGTGCTTCTTGGAAAGACTATAATCAGCCTTTCATGTGTTCATGTTTACCTAATATTCCTCGGGAATCCTTGCACGCATTCTGAATGCTAAGTTAACTTTAATCCTTTGTTTTAACAGAACACTTCTCAGAGGTTTGAGCATTGGCCTGCTAAACCCAGGGTTGTGAGTTCAATCCTTGAGGGGGCCATTTAGGGCTCTGGGGCAAAAATTGGGGATTGGTCCTGCTTTGAGCAGGGGGTTGGACTAGATGACCTCCTGAGGTCCCTTCCAACCCTGATAGTCTATGATTCTATGACCTAAAGCTGCACAGAGAGCTAATGTTTTCCAGGAAATGGAGATATTAATCTGCTGTGTCATTATCTCTTATTATCCAACATATACCAAAACTAAATGATGTAGCCAGTTCAATAACATACATGTATGCTGAACAACATATTCCCTTTATTGTCTGAGAGCAGTTATACATCTAACTGAAGCAAGAGAATGATTCAAGCAAAGGGAAAAAATGTCTGAGGGTGGGGTAACAGTAGAGTGGAGAGAGAATAGAAATTCAATAAAGCCGTAACCTAGTGCAATGCAAGCTGTTTTGCTTGACTGTGTTAGGGTAATGGAGTTCAAGGTTAGCAGTGGTATTCAGTGTTAATGGAAAATGAGTTCCATGGCTCCCTTTTGGCAGGCTTTGTTCTAGGCCAGATGTGAACAGTGTACATTCTTCCAGATGAAGCTGGCCAGAAATAAAATTACCCTAACCACCTTGCAACTTTAGTACATAGACTTTCACTGTATGTTTTTATTATAGAACAGTAGTAATGGTGATGGCTTACGGCCAAAACAAAACAAGCTCCATGTTGATAATAAACCTTGAAAAATAAGCAGCAACTTCTAAGAGACCAGTGACCTTTAGGTTGGCTTAGTCAGAAGCAATGAACATCAAAAACCTTACCTTGCCCAGAGGGGCTGGATGACTTGTGTATTGTCTGTCAGTTCTCAATGGATTTTTCCAACAAATTAACAGGCTACAAATGATTGATGGGCTACACATATTCCTAGAAGGAAAGTATCTTGGTTCCCTTGCATGTGGAGTTAACCTGTCCTTCCTCTACGTGATTAAAAGTAGTGAAATTACTAATCATGGATGTGGAGGGGATCATATTACTTGGCGGTACAAGCAAGCTGGTCCAAGGTTCTGCCAACGCACCTCAATCCACCTTGTAGAATATCTGCTTTTCCAGTTCCACGCCACTCATGAGAGTAGAGTGCCAGTCCTGACACGGCAGTGGAGTTGGTTGAGATTAGCCAATTACTTGTGTGAGCTTAAAATAGCGTTCCAACCCGAGTGTCACATTTACCAACCGGACAGGTGAGCACATGCATGCCTAATTGTGCATGCTCCTATTGTTAGTGTAAACTATGCATGTGTTTTGTGTACATAATTATGTCCTTAACTTCATTCAAAAACTATCCCAAGTCTCCAGAAGTAAAACGTGTACGAAACCATTTTGAATCATGTTCACCGCCAGCACGTTTTAAATCGTTTCCTGGAGATTATCCACCACAGTGAAGACTCGGGCAGTCACATTCGCCAATATACGATATGTATTTACTTTCTCTGGGTTACAGCTACCTATTGCTATGGCACTTAGGTTACAGTCAATCTGAACACAAGAAAAAAACCCAACAATTTAAGCTGACACTTGAAATCAATTAATGCAGTGGTTCTCAAACTTTTGTACTGGTGACCCCTTTCACATAGCGAGCCTCTGAGTGCGACCCCACTTATAAATTAAAAACACTTTTTTATGTATTTAACACCATTATAAATGCTGGAGGCAAAGCGGGGTTTGGTGTGGAGGCTGACAGCTCGCAACTACCCGTGTAATAACCATGTGACCCCCTTAGGGGTCCCGACTACCAGTTTGAGAACCCCTGAATTAATGTGACTTGCATCTTGCCCTGCAAATTGCTAGACTCAGGCGCTTCCAGATTGCCAAAGAGTGAATTTAAATTAGTCAAAGTGAGCGTAGGTGGTTACTGCAGTTCCGGCTTTAATGTTGATTTTAGATATTGATTTGAGTATTTGGCATTAAGGGGTCTTCAGAGAGCAGAGGACAGTCTGAAATCTATTTTGCTGATATATTTATTGCATATGGAATCATTCCAGTGTCCTGAAGGCATTCATATGTTGAAAGAGAAGCAAATGGAAGCTCTAATTTAAATAACGTGGTTTTGTAATGGGATGCCGGCAGAACCAAGCATCTCCTAATCAAGCGTGAATCCACACACAAATCCCTAGCTCATTCCCAGTCTGTCATTGAGTGTCTCTTGCCTGTATTGGTTTGTTTTATCCATAGACACCAGTGGAAGATGTAGCACATATGTTCATGTCAATTTCCGTGTAGTAGTCTATTGCTCATGTCATATGGTCTCTGCATTAAATTAGGAGTCTTGGAAAGCAACTGCCTTTGAGGCTGCACTTTGGAGGGCTCTGGTGGAAAGCTCTGAAATACTAGGAACATTAGGATCTTGTGAGCGCTTCCGTGGCTTTAGACTGGATTTGAAGAGAGTCAGATAATGGCTGGTGTTTATATGGTGCACAAAGTGGCAGACCACAAGGAGACTTTTGTCCATGTACAAAGGCCAACCATAGTTGTAGTCTCTTCTCTGAGTCAACAAGTCACCCAAAAAGGGGCAGGGATTACCAGGGCCATGGCCCCCTACTCGCTCCTCATTGGCCAGTGGAGCTGGATGGCTGGAATAGGGAGCGCATAGTGGTCATACTCCCTCTGTATGTGAGGTAAGCTCCAGGAGACATTGCATTTCTCTCATGCTCAGCATTGTGTGACCCTGCATGGCCCTCAGTGTAACTGCCAGACTCTGCCCCTAAATGTTCAGTTGCTCATATGCCATCATAGTTGTGTATCTGCTGGATCCTGAGTGCCCTCAGCTTCCATAGACCTTTGCAAGAGTTGTGGGAGCAAAGCACCTCACAGGTTTGGGCCCAGTGGCTGCCTGTCTTGGTGAAGATAGAAGATCCTTCCATCTTCTTCCTGGTACATTAGGGAAAAAGTAACGTTTTCATTCATAGCCTGTGCAGTCCAAAACATGGTAAATGTTCAACAGGGAACAATCTTATGTTGGCCTGGGTGGACTAGGTGTGAACTACTAGGTCCTTTCTGCCTCTGGATCCTATGCTTTATTTTATTTATGGACACATGCAGCAACATTTCAATCCCAATAAAATTTCCCATCAGTACCTTTGTGGTCAGTAGGGCTATCAATAATTAAACACAAAAACGCATTGCAGTTCATCGACACACCACTATCTACTATGTTCAAAAATCCACCTTTCAGAAAAGTCTCCAGATTTGTTCATGATAGACTGCAATCAGCTCCGAGAACAACACACTCCACATTGAAGTTGCACGCAAAAGGGTAGTTAAGAGGAATACGCGGACGTTAAGTTTGGACACTCATCCCACATCCGCGCCATTTCACCGAAGAATCAGGAGCTCAGAACTAGACATGATCATATGCGGTATCTCCCAAGAAATGCAATGCCAGACGTTGAAAAGTGGGACTATTTTGTGCTGGATCCATGCATTTCCATTTTATTAAATGGGGAATTCACTCCCAGGTCAGGGCCCCGTTGCATTGCATAATACTAGGTCTGAAAGGCTGGGCTGGGGACCACATCTAAGTCTTAACTCTCATAGGTTCTGCTGGTCCCGTCTCTTGGTTCTTAAGGTATGTCTATGCTGCATGCTTCTTTGAGCAGCATAGAGAATACGGACATGGGTAGCCCCCCAACGAGGGTATACATAGCAGTGCAGACCATGAGGCATGGCTGGGGCAAGTAAAGACACACCTGAAGGCGGTGGGTATGTACCCGAGTACATATCCTACATGGCTCTCTACTCATCCGAGCGATGCCTCCCCGTCTACACTGCTGTTTTTAGCAATGTAGCATCCCACTGCTGGAGTCTTTCATGGATACGTGTAGCTACACATCATACACATCATTTCTTTTCACTGCGGTACGTAGCTACACGTAGCCTGCGTGCGGCCAGAGCTGTGTAGCGTAGGCTTGACCTAAGTCTAATGTAAGACGTTTTCACACTGAGAGTATTTGTCAACGGATCTGTTCCTTTGATTCTCACGCAGACCTGGGATGATGAGCTGGAAAGATCTGCTGAGGCTTGGGCCCATGAGTGCATCTGGGATCATGGACCTGCCAGCCTCATTATGTCCATTGGTCAGAATTTGGCTGTTCACTGGGGCAGGTAAGAGATGGAACGCTGAGTGTCTAATGTATCATATCTGTCGACAGTGACATTGTGGGTCTCGCCCTGTTCGGCAGTTTGGGAGGTTTGTCTTGTCAATATTTAGTAAAAAGAACTTGACTAGCTGGAAAAAAGGAGCTGGGGAAGGGAGAGCGCTTAATGTTTTCTTGTTGCTTCTGTGAAACAGATACAGCAATACCATCTATTGGGCCTTTAGCCAGCAGTTCCCAATATGTTTAGGAAATGTTAACTAAGCCTCACTGTGTGGTGGGTTTGCCTTAGAGGCACAGAGAGGTGAAGGGACTTGCTCAAGGTCACACAGAGTCTTAGTGGTAGAGTTGGCATCAGAATCTAGGACCCTGACCCCCAAGTCCCCTGTTTCATGCAGCTTTGCTCTCTCTTATTCAGAAAAGAAGTTTCTCAGGAACCATTTTTGGCCACTCCCACTAGGTCTGAACACTGTTAAAAATCCTCTAAGTGCGTTGCACCACATTTCCTTTTCACTTCCCACTTTATCTTTACTGCAACCACTTTGTATTTGCTTGCAGATGGCCATGTAATTCTAGGTGAGCAAACAGTTTGTTTTATACTCCCTGGAAAAAACCCTGGAGCTTTGGAAATGGTGTTTCTGCATCCACAGGGATTGCTTTGCCAGCTCCTGGTGAGAAGAACCCTGCTGGTGCTTTCCACTGAGGAGATGCATCAAATGGCAATCTGTTTCTTTGTTGTAGTTCTAACCTTGGCTCCACTACAGACTTCCTGAGTGACCTTGGGCTAATCATGTACTGTAGGTCCCAATCTTGCTCCCATTGAAATCAGTGAGAAAACTGCCATTGATTTCAGTGTATGAAGGATTGGGTCCATAAACCCTCTGCCTCAGTTTCCTCATCTGTAAAATGGGGCCAATAGTACCTACCGCATGACATACTGTGACACAGAATTCATTAATGGTTTTAAAGCATGTTGAGGTAATCAGACAAAGATTACGATGGAAGTGCAAAGTATCCTTGATAGTGACATCTGTGATTCTAGTCATCTGCTCATTTACATCCTGGGTGGATTGCTACATCTCAACTTGATGTACTGCTAGTTACAGTTGGTGAAAGGCTACCTGGGCCCATCCTATGCAGCATGCACTGTGTGTATGAGTGTCTGTCTAGATGATTATGCTGACATTCACGTTCCAACTCCAGAAGCACGGATCACAGCACAACTGTGCCACAAACAGCATTTACAAGTGCACTGCATGCCCAAACCACATACTGCATGTGCCTGCTGCCCGGCTGCTGAGGATAAGAGTGTACTTCCAGATGTAACGAATTGTCTAGTGGTAAAATAGGTACATGACTTTCTGTTTAATATGTTTGGCAACCTCTAGCTGATGTTTACTTTCAAAATACAGCCTTCTGCCAAACTAGAAGTCTTTTGTAACTGAGTGGAAAAGCCAAGGGGACGTTTCAGGTCAACGGCTTTTGAAGAGAAAGTTAAACCTATAAATACTACAGAATCTCCTATTGGGTCATGGATTTTAAAGAAACAGTCCCTAATACCTGCCTGTGTGTAAAACACCAGAGATTTGTCATTGGTCAAAATATGATGGTGGCTTTTTCTACAATTTCCTCTGGTCCCTCCATTTGTTAAAGTCGCAGGTCCGTACCAAGATGACACCATGTTGCACTGTGAACTCACTTTACAATTATCCTGTACCGAATTATTGGGAATTTCATATTAACAAAAGGGGACCCGGGCGTGCTGAGGTTGGGTTGAAAACTCACAATTCTAGTTAGCGATCCAGCTCATCACGTATCTTTGGTCTTTCAGGTATCGTTCTCCAGCCTTCCATGTCCAATCTTGGTACGACGAAGTTAAAGATTATACTTACCCATATCCCCACGAATGTGACCCTTGGTGTCCAGAAAGATGCTCTGGAGCAATGTGCACACACTATACCCAGGTAAGGAAGAGGAAGGAAACATGGAGTCTTGTGTCTGAACTTGGTGCGTTCCCTCATACCCCGCGTAGCCCATAGAGCTAGTGTAACCCACACGCCTCATGGGTGCGGTGTTCTGTCCCATCTAGTCCCACCCACCGAGACCACTTAGAGAGATTGCGTTTGCTCTACAGCCTTAGCTAACAGCTGCATGGCTTTTAGCTCATGCAGTAGAGGCTTATGTATTTAGCCCTGGAGGTCTCAGGTTCGATCCCGCCCACCAACGACCAGGGTCTGTTGGCATTACATTAGCATTCATTTTATTCAGCAGTAATGCAAGGCACCCACAGGCCTGCATCCTGTATGACGTTGGCTTCAGCCGTTTTCACAGGCCTCAAGCCTTATGCTCTTTGGCACAGATAAACGACCTAACGGTCACCTCCTACATTTCGGGGAACTGGAAATAGTGTGTGTTGGGGGAATTTTGTCCATAACGACACCAGCCAGCCACAGGAACGTGAGCTAACACCAGCTTTTGGATAGAACCTCTGCAGATGTCTGACCACAAGAGTGCCATGGCAATGTATTGACGTATATGATAATAAATTAAGATAATTAATATACTAATCTATAGTATACAACATTAGTAGGGTGAGGAAATACAAATAAGGAAGAAGGGAGAAACCTCGGCTGAATATGCATTAAGTATAGTGGCGTCAGCGTAATTTATTATAAAAGTTGTATCCCAGCCTGTCTGTGGGGGTGGGAGGAGATATAAATGCTAGTCATTATGAAAATATACTCAGGAAACTTGAATGAATTTGCCTTTTGCGGCATTCTGTTTTTTAAAATGCCTGTGTTATGCTTTCAGATCGTTTGGGCCACAACAACCAAGGTTGGCTGTGCTGTAAACGTCTGCAAACAAATGAGTGTTTGGGGAGAAATCTGGGAGAATGCCGTCTACCTGGTCTGCAACTATTCTCCCAAGTAAGGAAGACACAATAGGTTTCTTCCCCCCTCCCTTCCTACCTCCCGCAACTCTTAAAACTGCATGCTGTGAGTTGCTTAACAAATATAGAATCTGGTGCAGAGATTTCAATCAGGTGTGGGTGGTTATAGTTTTTTAAACATTTAAATTATGGTAATACATAAATGCCAACAAAGTTGGGGCCCCGTTGTGCTAAGTGCTACACAGACAAGTAGCAAGTGACAATCTCTGCCCCAGAGAGCTTACAGTTACATAACTCAAGCGTTCAGGATTGAGCCAGTCCTGGGTTGGGCGTCTTCTAGAAGTGGAAGTTGCATTTAAAATCTTCGAATGAATGCATCTGTGGCAAGATTTGAGTAAGGGATTTGGCCTGGGTCACAGAGCCAGCTTCTGAAAAGGACTGCAAATTGATATTGATGTTAATATTGTTTCATATTTAATTGGTAGGCCTTAGAAATCTGCCCTGTGCAGCAAAAGACACAAATATCAAAGCTGCCACTGTTTAGAATACAGTTATAGAAAGGCAACACAACACTGAAAGATCTGGAGAAAGAAGTCAATATATACATGAAGGCACTCTGATTGCAGATGCCATTGAGTTCTGCTGAGCGTTAAGGCGGGGGGAACACAGTCGTCACAGTTTGTGGTGGTGAAAACTGTTGGGAATCTTATGGGTTTATCATCCAACAATAAGCCCTCCCTGCCCATGAGATACTGAGCACCTTTAGCTCCTACGAAATGGAGTGCAATTTGAGGAAACTCGTTGTCATGCAGGATTGTACCATGTGTGTCCTCTCAGGAGAAGGTTGAACTGCTTTGCATATCGTCAGTTCAGGACTGCTGAATGGACAAATACTCAAATATAAGGCTCTTCTGGAGTTTCTGCTTGCATGCTGAATGAATGCAGTATCTATGTAGGATTTTAATGTAAAAGTTTAATGTAATATTATAATATATATACATGCATGCACTCTTCTGAAACAGGCCTTTTAGAAATGAAATGAGATGAAGCCTTTGTCTGAAAGTAACAGGCTTGCAGTGGCAACCCTTTCAAGTTTATGTGAGACAGCTGCCGAACATTCAGTCAGTCTGTAGTGATTACCACAACAGTGGAGAATGCTGCTGTGGTGTCAGAGGCAAAACTGAGGGGGTTTTGAGTCATTAGAAAATGGGGTGCAAGGATAAATGTTCCCAGACAAGTTGTCTAGAGACATCAGCACACACCACACAACAAAAACACTAACCCAGGAACCTATCCTTGCAACAAAGCCCGATGCCAACTCATCCACATATTTATTCAAGTGACACCATCATAAGACCTAATCACATTAGCCACGCCATCGGGCTCGTTCACCTGCAGATCTACCAATGTGATATATGCCATCATGTGCCAGCAACGCCCCTCTGCCATGTACATTGGCCAAACTGGACAGTCTCTACACAAAAGAATAAATGGACACAAATCTGACATCAGGAATCATAACATTCAAAAACCGGTAGGAGAACACTTCAACCTCTCTGATCACTCAGTAAAAGACTTAAGGGTGGCAATTTTGCAACACAAAAGCTTCAAAAACAGACTCTAGCGAGAAACTGCTGAGCTTGAATTAATATGCAAACTAGATACTATTAACTTGGGTTTGAATAGAGGCTGGGAGTGGCTGGGTCATTACACATATTGAATCTATTTCCCCATGTTAAGTATCCTCACACCTTCTTGTCAACTGTCTAAATGGGCCATCTTGATTATCACTACAAAGTTTTTTTCCTCCTGCTGATAATACCTCATCTTAATTAATTAGCCTCTTACAGTTTGTATGGCAACTTCCACCTTCTCTCTCTCTCTCTCTCTCTCTCTCTCTCTCTCTCTCTCTGTGTGTGTGTGTGTGTGTGTGTGTGTGTATATATATATCTTCTTAGTCTATGTTCCAGTCTATGCATCCGATGAAGTGGGCTGTAGCCCATGAAAGCTTATGCTCTAATAAATTTGTTAGTCTCTAAGGTGCCACAAGTCCTCCTGTTCTTTTTGTGGATACAGACTAACACGGCTGCTACTCTGGAATCCACCATGACTAGTATTTCTGATGTCTCAGGCTAAGCCCTGCGTTTTTCTGTTTGGACGCAGTTCCAGGTTGGAAAATGGAACAGCTTTTAAATGGAGATGAGCTGCGTTCCAGGCTGGCCTGTGTAGCTGCTGGAATGATCTGGAGAGCAAAGAAATGGTGGTAGACTTGTGGCTCTGATGACCGCGATGAACACACATGAGAGAGCTCAAGGCAAATACCAGTCTCTGACTAACCAGTTGTGAAGCGGAAGGGAAACTACTGTACCGTGCTGCGTTTACTTAGTTTGCTCAGTGATCGTGAGAACGCTGCAGGTTGTATGTTCATGGAAAGATCAGAGACTGGCGGTCCTTTCCCATATTTACAGCAATCGAGCAACATAGAATTACAGTGGAAACATTCTTTTTCCACAATTCCTCAGTGCCTTGAGGCTCAGGGCTGCAGGACTCGGGCACAGGGCCTGAAAGCGAAGTAATGGAATTGTGAGTGTGGTATAGAAGCTATTTAACAGAAAAACATTTCTCACATGCTTTTTTCAGAGGGAACTGGATTGGAGAAGCTCCTTATAAAAATGGCAGGCCCTGCTCTGAATGCCCACCTAGCTATGGAGGAAGCTGCCAAAACAACCTCTGTTACAAAGGTAGGTGATCAATAAGCTATTTCTCTCAGCTCAATGCATCATGGGGAAATGCAAATGATCTCACCTAGGTCCTTGCTGTGTGATATGGAGAAACTGGAAAAGAAATGTCTCTGGAAACTTTTCATTAAAAGCGGTTACAGATTTGTGTGCTTTTAATTCCCCACCGTTAACTCTGAAACATACAGAATAAGGTGAAGCAAGTACTATATGAGAATGTCTGAAGCAGAAATGCCAAGTAACTAAAACCTAGAGATCAAATTTGGCTTGTAGGCACTGGTATAAATCCAGAGCAACTCCATTAGTTCAAGGAAGTTTCTCTGTGTTACCCTGGTGTAACACAGATCAGTTTGGCCCAGTGAATTTAGGCTTGTGTGTTTTGTAGGTACAAGCAACACCACCCTCATTTGGTTTGTTCTATAAATGGTGCTCTGTTTAGTAAATGAAAACAATTATTAATTCTGAAACCATCAGTGAAATTGCTCATATCATTTAAAATAGAGAATGCACTGGAGTTATGTGTTGATGGTATCTTCTTTCTTTACCTACATAAGCCTTTTCCTCTGTGAAGGAGTGAGCCTGTTTTCATAGATGCAGACCAACTCACTGGAGACTTGTTCAAAGCAAAGATTTTGGGCCAAAAACAATTTAGGTGCTTGATTTTTAGTAGCCTGAGCACCTAAATTGATTGAGCAATGAGGAAGCAAACACAGTGTAGGTATGCAATGTATTTCCATATGGAAGAGAAAAGAGAGAATGGAATGAGACCACTGGCTGGAGGGGAGAAATTCCTCTGCGAGATCAGTCATCGGTTTGTTGGTATCATTCCCCTCTCCATTGCTGGGGATGTAAGCAAAGTGAGGTTTCAGCTAGGACAAGTGAAGGGAAGTGGATTTAACCAGCACCACTTTGGAGCCTTTTTTCCCCTAACTATGGACTTTGGGGTATGTCTACACTGCAGTTAAAAACCCGCAGCTTGCAGGGCTCGGGCTGTGGGGCTGTTTCATTGGGGTGTAGACTTCCGGGCTTGGGCTGTAGCCCAAACTTTGGGACCATCCCACCTCCTAGAACCTGGGCTCGGAAGTTGGCACTGCAGTGAAACAGCCCCCCAGAGCCCAAGCCCCACAAGCCTGGGTCAGCTGGCACAGGCCAGCCGCGGGCATCTACCTGCAGTGTAGACCTATCCTCAGAGGGCACAAGAACATTAACTTTGCAGCACAGTAAGGAGAAATGAGTAGTGCATGCTGTGTAACTTAGCCACCTGACCATTTAACTGGTTAGGATCCTTTCCTGACAGTCTCCAGTGAATATGCCTGACTATCTTAGAGGACTGACCTTTTCCTCTACTGAGTAAAAGCTGTATTGGTAAATAGCATGATAAATAATAGTAAGACATTCACACACGCATCAGCATTTGAAGTGACAGATCACTTCAGCCAGGTACACCGTAGTTCTTTAAACAGTGCTTTAGATGCTGAGTAAATGAATGGTATGAACCCAGGCCTCTTTTCCTGGTACTTTGAGTCTGGCCCATTCTGTATTTAACTTGCATTTTGTTGAGTTTCCAGCTGTTTAGAAATAGATCTTTGTCGAACCAAACAGAATCTTCCATGAAATATCAGTCCTCCTGCAGCTTGTGTGACTTTATTATTAATGCAAGGATACTGTTTTACCTCTCCCCACCCAATAAGATGACCACTACGCACAAAAGCCTGAGCGGGATGAGACTAATGAAGTGGAGGTCCCACAAATCATAGAGGAAAAACACGTGTGGGTGCAAGAACGGGTGACCAAACCCACCAAATCAACCAAGATCAAGAAAATCACCACAACCGTGGACAGTTTCATGAGTAAGAGAGCTTCTTTGTCTTCCACATCCTATAAACTTTTAAATATCTCTGTAGAAGTGTGTGTGCATGTGTGTGTGGATGTGGAATGAGATGCCAAGAGGCCTCCAGTGCAAACCTGTGTTGAGGACCAGTTAAAATCATTGGATTATTATTATTTTTTTTTTTTGGGCAATTTATTTGGAAGCAATATTTTGTGTCCAACTTGAGGCCTGATTGTTCAGACAACCCTGAAAAGTAGGCCCTTTTAGAGCATCTTGGGCTGGATGCCCAAGAATTGAGGCACTCAAAATCATTAGTTGGTCTAGTCTAGTCTATTCTGATTCTTCTATCACACTCGTTGTCATAATATCTGATCACCTTTAGAAAATCTTGGCCAGGATCACTAGATGATATTCATATGGAGGCATTTTATTTGTCCTTGATTTACTATTTTACTCATTTGAACTATTCTGAACTCAGTGTTCACCACCTTGACATCCTTTCTGGATTTTGTCCAGAGGGAAAAGGGGGTCCAGCTCTGCTTGACAAGGTCTGCTGAAATATTCATGGAATTGATAGTATCTCTTTAAAGGTTTTTCTAATCACTGTAATTTAAAGAGTGATCTACGGCAAGTGAGCTGAGGGGAGTGAGCATATCTTTCTCAAGTCTATCTACTGGAATGTCGGTAGCCTATAATTAAGTGGATGATAGGAGTGCTGAGCAGGGTCTTTAGGCTATAAATTGAAGTCTTCTGGTGTCAAGCGTTTCCTCCAAGTTAATATTTACAAAGACACCTGTGTGATAAAAGGAACGGCTAAAGTGGCAATAAAGTGACTGATGTAAAACTGCTTCAGGCTTATTGTTCTGAGTTAGAAGTTCACTACTGCCCAGTTATTCTGTGATAAGAATTCAATCTTCCCACACAGAAGATCTCCTGGAGACCATGTCATGTACCTGAGTTATCACTATAATGCAGTCGACCATTTATCTCTGGGCAATTTTTTCCTTGCATTCTTGTCTCTTATGTCTTCCTCCCGCCCCACTCCCCTCCCCTTTTTTTTTCTAGCACAGGTCATTAAGTGCGACACCAAAATGAGGGACAAATGCAAAGGATCAACATGCAACAGGTAGCGTTTTATTGACTTCTGCCCCAGTGTCATTGAAATGGCAACCTTAAACCTGGCTGGCTTTTGCAAACATGGAGCGGGCTGGGTTCTATTTATTGTGACTAGAATCCAAATGCTGTCTAAATCCCTATGAAAAAAAGTCTTTCATTGCTCTTAATACAAATGATTTGGCCAAGTTTAGCAGTAAGGTGACTCAATTTACTTCATGCTCGAAATGGTGAACGGCCATGATAACCCACAGCTCCCAGGTGGTCAGCCCCATTTAATAAAGCTTGGCACAATCATTTTGCACTCCTCTTGTGTTACATTTCCATCCAACCTTAGACCATCAATTCAGAGCTTGTCCCCACCTAGGAGCCCTGGTTAAGATCCCAGTAAGGTACACTAAAGTTTATTCCTTGGAAAAAAAAACACCCACAGAATCTAAATATTGATCTCATTCTTAAGGGAAAAGGTATTTGAAAATGTGGCTGTTTTGCAATGCTGGTTTTAAATGGAGTAGTTAAATGACACTAATGGGATCACTATTAAATTAACTGTAATAAAAGTCTGACTCACATTTCACACTCACCACAGATATATATATATCTCTCTTTAACTAGGTATCTGTGCCCAGCTGGCTGCGTTAACAGCAAGGCAAAAATCTTTGGAACATTCTATTATGAGACTGTACGTACTTTGTTATGGCTGTTATAGATGACATCTTTGTTATAGATGACATTTACTGGGGTTTTAATGGTAGTAATAGAAATGGAAAATGCTGGCAGTTCTAATGTAACATAAATTTTCTGCCCTCCCATGTTGGTGCTGTAAACTGTCTTACTGTAAACTGTATTAACTTATATAACAAAGGTAATCTGCATTTCCCCATCTATATGATAAAATCAGTGCTGAAAAGAGTATCTACTAAGGGTTTGATTTTGGTTCTGAGTGTCCTCTAGGCTCACTAAGTTCAACAGAAGTTGAGCGCCCTCCTGTACTTCACAGGAGTGCATGGCATCTTTCAGGATCTATCCCTCAGTGCAGTGAGCTATTGGGATGGAAGAGAAACTTTATATTAGAATTGCTTCTCAAGATGGTTCACAGGATGATGGATTTTTATTTTTAGGATGGCTCATTGAATCTTAAATTGTCAAAATAGTTTATAATTAGGGCAGGTCAACAATTTCCTGTCAAGACTGATTTTGATGGAAAACTGGGGGTTTGGTTAAACAATTTGGTTTTTACAAAATGTGCCTGCTTTCCAATGAAAATTTTGATTTTATTATTAAAAAAAAAATGCCCCAAATATATTGAAGCTGAAATTCTGCTGCAGATGGCTCATGGGAGTTGTAGTTCAGTTGCTTTGTGCTCCTGTTCTTCTCTATGGGCTGGGTTTCCCTCTAGACTGCATCTCCCATGATGCATCATGGCTGGACAGCTGCCATGATGCACCACCTCCCTCACCAAGGGGTTTTCAGCTGAAATATTTCAGATTTGACATTTTTGTTGAAAGCTCAAAATTTTCCTTTTGGGGGGGGGGAGGGAATGAAACATTTTCCAACCAGCTCTCCTTTTAATTTACATTTAAATACTATATTTTTTATTTAAAAAAATCCATGTTTGTCCTTAAATCAAGTAAGGCTTCGAATAAAAATAAATGCATGTGTGTTATAACAGTAAAATTCAGCAGGCTGAAACGATGCAACATTTGCTCAGTAAATGTAAAGTCTGCGTAAACTTCAGCTGGTCTTTAAGTATTTCTTTTACATACTTGTTTATTAAATGGCTTAGAACTATTTAGGAAACATTGGTATTAACATGCTATTTGTGATGTGATTTCCAGGCATCCAGTATATGTCGCGCTGCAATTCATTATGGCGTCATAGATGATAAAGGAGGTCTGGTTGACATCACTAGGAAAGGGAGATCACCCCTTTTTGTCAAGTCGACAAGAAATGGCATTGAATCTTTAAGGTAATGCTTCCCTCAGAAACCAGATCTCTACGTCTGGAGGGCCATGACTTGTACAATAAATCGTTCCACATTTGTCACTGTTTACAAGCAACAGAGAGTAGATCTTAAAGCAACTGTAGTGCATTTATTTGTTAAAGGTCAATGAAATATGTACACACATTTCTTGTTTTGCTTTGCAGTAAATATAAACCTTCAAATTCATTCATGGTTTCCAAAGTCACAGGTAAGTTTTTAAATGCCCCTTTTGTCATTATAATGTTGAGAAGAAATCAATGGTGCTTGAGTTTATTGTAATATATTGACATCATCATTCCAGAGCCATGTTCTTTTATGAATCTTAAATGGGCAAAACTCTTTGTAGTCAAGCGACTCTTCCTATTTGTGATTAGAGCATGTCAGGAAAAACAAAAGTGGCATTTTTCAAAACATTTCCTGCCCCTGCCCCATTTTAGAACCCATTTGAATAATGCCTCGGCCTAGCGTGACCATATTTCCCAAAGGGAAAACGGGACACTGCATGGGGCTGGCCCGAGTCCTCCCAATCCTCCCAGCGGGGGCTGGCCCAAGCCGCTCGCCCTCTCCCCTTCCCCCCATCTGAGCCCTCCCTCAGGCAAGGCTCGAGTGAGCAGTGATGCACATACTCGTTAGGGTGACCATATTTACCAAAGGTGGGGGCTTGCATTGCTGCTTGCCCAAGCCCTGCCTGCCACCCCACCCGAGCCTCCTTTTACTGAGGACCCCTCGCCTCCCCACATGCAGAGCTGGCATTTTCACTCACACCCCCTTCCCCCATGTTCCTCTACACCCCACTTTGTGACAAAAGTGGGCATTTGTCCCGTTTGCTCTCGCCAACTAATCAAAAGTTGCAAGAGCAAATGGGACAAATGCCCACTTTTGCCACACAAGTTGGGACAGCTGGAACAGGGCTTAAAAAAGGGACAGTCCCAGCCAAAACAGGACGTATGGTCACCCTACTGCTCAGCTTAAATACAACCAATATTTTGGCTTGTGTTACCTTGAGCTGCTTTAGGGTGAAGCCTCTGGCACTGGCAACTGGAAAGTTAAAAGCAACACTGTCATTTAGACTCAGAATTAGACCCAAAACCTGCCCGGGAACCCCCTCCGTATTCAAAAAAATCTGTAACAAAATCACACTACTCCATTTCTCAGATATTCTTTTCTTTAAAAAGCCATGGTCCTTGAAGAAGGATTTTCTAGCAATTTAGTAGATCTCCAGCATGAATCCTAATAAAAATATCTCTTCGATGGAAGCTGTTTCTAATGAAGACATTGAAATTATTCTTTTGGCTGCATCTGCTGGACATGCATCCTGTTAGATGTGATGCATAACTAATGCTTCTGTTTACTTCAGGAGCACCAGCTATTTGGCTTTGTAATTCATCTCTCTATATTGATTTCCACAGTGCAGACACTGGATTGTTACACCACCGTAGCTGAACTGTGTCCTTTCAAAAAGCCAGCAACTCATTGTCCAAGGTAAGCTGCATATCTCAAATATGATGCTATTTCCTTTGAACCTAGACCTGTACTAGGGTAAGGGAAACAGAAGCTGAAGGATTGGATGGAGATATTGAACTCTTCCGATTTGAAGCTGATAAATTAAAGATATAGATTATGTCAGATTAACTGGAGTAAAGGTTAAACGAGGAAGCTTTTTCCATATCCAAAACAACATACTATATGAATAAAATTGCCTGCTTTCACAAACATGTTTGTGATCTGAGCATACTCTCAATGCTGGCATACAAACAAGTTCCAGGATTTAAAATCCATATTTTTGTGGGTTTATTACTGAGTTTTTTACCTGCTTCAGCAATATAAGAGGGTCCGAATAGAAGACCCCCTCAAATTGGCCTCAATATGTGCATGTACAACTTTGCACACTTTGTTCAGTCACGTGCATGTGGTGTTTTGGGACGCTATCACTTGTACACCCAAATGATAAAATGTACACACACAAAACCTTCTTCCTCTTGATGCTGGCATGCAAACGAGCGTTGCTCATGGAAATTCCATCAGGTGCATGCATGAATGACGATGGGCAAAAAACTCTACCTGCAAACAATTGTGTGTGCGGGGCCAGGCACAAGGTTGGAAGCTACGCTTGGAGAATTTGGCCCAATGGCCTTCATTATCTCCTGTTTCACTGGCTTAAAGGAGTCTCATTTGCAGCTGTGTAGACACTATCGAGTTTCAGCTGAAAGGGGGGAAAAAAGAACCAGTCAGCTGCTGCCACCTGCAAACCAGATGCCGGCCCTTGAAGGCTTCCTTCCAAGAGCTCAAGAATACAACTGGTTTTTCTCTTACTCCTTGATGTAGCGAATAAATATGAATAAATTGTTTTTCAGGGCTTACTGTCCAGCCCACTGTAAAGCTGAGCCAGCATACTGGGCACCAGTCTTTGGCACCAAGGTTTATGCAGATGTGAGTATTCCACTTTCCTATGTCTCTCCAAATAACAAGGTGACTGTATTGAAATGACTGGATCCCCATGGTCATTTAAGAGATTCACATTCCATGAATTAGAAAGGTCAGAATTACATAGAGTCCCTATAAACAACAAGGAAATACCCTGCCAGCACATGGGATAGAAATGTCCCTTGAATTAGTTGGACACATTGATTAAATGTATCTAGTGTTGTACTTCAGAGTCAGCATTATAGTGCAGTGGATAGGGCGTCAGGGGTTGCACTCCTTTTTCTGGCACTGATTTGCTCTGGGAAAGTCACTTAACCTCTCTGGGTTTTTGTCTGTAAAATGGGTTTGATGCTTGTCCACCGTCGTGAAGTCTCTTGAGGTGTACAGATGAAAAGCGAATAGCTTTGATTGGTACAAACGTTATATTATTACTCGACATAGCTTGTAAAAATAGATTCCCCCCCTTCTTATCTGTAAGTAGAATATGATTTGTGAGCAGTTGTTGTGGAAATGAAGTATGGGGGTGGGGTTTTGGTTTTTTTTTGTAGCTCTGTGAACAGCTGTCGAGTTGATGTGGATGGACAGAGGTTAAATGGCAAAAAATAAATGGACAGATATGCAAAGGAACTTTTTTTTTTGGTCACCACTTAGAGAGAGCATGTGTCTAAAATCCACTGACAAAACAGGCTTAGTATAGCTTCTCACTGCTCTTATGGATCATCTCCACATGGGGGAGGTGCAAACATATTGGAAAATATTCCTAGCAGGATCATGGGAGTATACGAAATAATACGCTTGGTATTGCTGGAACCATTCCATATTTGGTTGAATCAACTCTGCCTAAACTTCCACCTGGAAAAAGAGTGCTCCATTGGAGAGGGAGGGCAGGTCTTGGTTCCATTTTTGTTTGTTATAGATGTCCAGATCAATAAAGAAAGAAAACGGGCATTAGAGATTTGTTCTGGAGTTTGTGGGCCTTGGTGGAGAATTGCCTGTTGTTTTGTTGATGTTAGTTAGCGGAGTTGTTTCTTTTTTACCTTTGTAGTCACAGGCAGAATTAGGAAAAACACAGAGGAATTTGAAATTGGTGCCAGTTGTGGTTTGGCCTCAGAACTGGCACATGGTTAAATAAGATTGTCCCTGCAAGGTCCCAAGAATAACAATTTCATTGGGCAAATGATCAGGTAATTAACTGATCAGAAGAACCTCATGCAACTATTTCAGTTGATATTTTTATAAAGCTGTATGAATAAAGTTGCATTGTAATCACATGCCAGTTTTCTGTTTACTCTAATCATCTATTAGGGCAATGATTCCGTTGCCTGTTTAGATACATAATAAGCCAAAAATTGGCATATAAATGTGATAATAAAATGTTACGTTTCTAGAACGCCTTTCCCCCAAAGCTCTTTCCAAAATATATACGCAGGAAAGATTTCAGATATCTCTGAAAAACAGCCACCCTTGCTGGGAACCATAGCATGCACTCTGTGTGTGTACTGTATAAGCACAGGAAGTAGAGAAGAATACTATCCAGTAGAAACAGCCGGGAAAGTTTTAGTGGTGGTGAAGCACTGGAATGGGTTACCTAGTGAGGTGGTGGAATCTCCTTCCTTAGAGATTTTTAAGGTCAGGTTTGACAAAGCCCTGGTTGGGATGATTTAGTTGGGGATTGGTCCTGCTTTGAGCAGGGGTTTGGACTAGATGACCTCCTGAGGTCCCTTCCTATCCTAATATTCTATGATTCTAGTGGCTATCCACACTAGATCTGCAGCAGGAGGAGTGGTGAAGACTAACATAAGATCTTTGAAGGTCACAAGCACTCAAGACCTCAATTTTGCATCTGATCTGAAAAAACTCCATAGCTGCTAAGATGTCCCTGAGGCACTAATTAAATACCACCATCTCAGTCCTGCATAATTTTATGATTTATACTGACTCAAAGGCACTAGTGTCCTGGTTCACAAGCTCCACTTCTTGTGAATCTCTGAGTTTGGGATTATATAAACGGGGGCATGGAATATGATTTGGGGGAAAAAATACTGCTCTGTCAAGGATTTGATAGATCTCCGTTAGACTAGTATGGCCAGGGCGTCAGAGATGACGGGTCTAACAAGGCATGTGTTGAAGAGTTTAGGAGCATTAGCAGAATGGCAGGAAAAGACAGGAGTAGACTTGATAGAGGAGAAGGGGCTTGAGGAAGCTGTGGCAGAAGATTGTAAGCACAGTGAGGGGTACAAATAGAAAAGTTCTTTGCATTAACGATAAATCCGAGGACTGGAAGGCTGACAAAATAAGCAAACGTTCAGTGCAATGAGAATTTAGTCCGAAGCCTTTCCCACAGAGGGTACTGTGTGTGTGGAATGCTCTGCAAGAAGGCATGCAATGACGTAGCATAAGCCACAAATCAGAAGAAAAATTAAAACCGACAACAAACAAAACTAGACAAGTGCTAGTCTTCTCATAGGCCCTGTGGATTCCCATCCATAAAGTGGCACCTTCTTGGGACTTGTGTATATATGTCACAGACTCTGTTCTTTTTAATAGCTTAACTAAAGAAAACAAAAAGTATTTTTCCCCATTGAGTTTGTGCTCTCGCACTCTCTGTCATGTCAGCAGCACACCCAAAACCCTGACCTGCAAAATGGTTTGGCAGCAGAGGAGTTAACGGGGCAATAACCTGTGGGCATTAGCATCATAAAGTCACTACTAAGTAGGTACCAGAATCCAATTCAATGAGCTTGTAACCTTCTGATCCGCCTTGGAGAGCTTCAATGTTTACATGATCCCAGGATGCATGTGAAAGTTTGTTTTACCACAGAGAACAAAGCTCCAGCATCAGGAAGAGAGGATTTTGGCTGTACTTGGTTCTACTTGGGTTAGTCCATAGCCCCAGGAGCAACTAACCTCTGCAGCATGGGATTTTAACAGCTTTAAAGAAGATTCTGTTTTCTTCTCATAGAAATAAGGATGCTATTTTAGGTTGCGTGATGTCAAGGGCTTGGGAAACATATGTTTATAGGAAGTGAGGTCAATGTCGTTTTGGAAACCAACCAGGGACAAAGAAGCCAAGGTACTCATGATCAATGACAAAATAGTAAGACCTCTAATGTGTTGCTGAAGTGTAATTGCTAGAGCCTTAAAACGTGCACAATAAATTGTGGAAGCGAACAGTAAGGAGGAGGAGGCGGCAAATGCAGGTCATCAAATCCAGATGTTCTGCAGTTCTGCTAAAAGTTATTTCCAGTGTAGAAAAAGATGTTCCATGACCTTGAGGAAAGCAGGACACTGACTGTGGTTAAAAACAGACAAATGAAAGCACATGCACAACTCTCCCCTCCCTGGCTTCAAGCATAAAATGATTTGTTGGGCCCATGCATTGATGCACCTTATTACATGGCCATGTGCATTAAATGGATGAAGCTCCAAAAGCAGGAACAGGTGCATTTGTAAGGGCCCCATCATTAACTTTAATAATGCATTTTGTTAGACTTGCAAGTTTGGTTTCGGTCTTTCCAATATGAGAGATTTAGCTCCGCAGAGGTGTAACCAAGCTCTCTCACCCCTATCTTTTATGGGCAATAGGCAGCCTGGATGGACCAATCCTGGCTCCCGTTACAGACTTTGGAAAAAATTTCCATTGAGGGCCTCCCACAAATGCAAGACAGATGTAAAGGCTAGCATATTTTACAAAGCAATGGTGCTATCTTCTGACCATCTCTGGTGGATTACATGTAAATAGCCAGCATTGTGTTAATAACAAAACCAGGGTGAAATTCTTCATGGTGATTCAGCAGAATGATGGAATGGTTCCTCCAGAGATAAAATGGAAACCTTAGTATATTTGGACATTTAAAACCGAAGTGGACAGAGCATTAGAGCACATGCTGTAGGGAAAAGTTTAGATCTGGCTCCAAACTTCACAGCTCAGGCCCATCTCCAAAAGAATCCAGTTTCCAAGCAATAGAAGGGTTAAGAAAAGTCGGAGCTTCTTTACACTAGATTTCCAGAGTCAAGTGGTATACACGGGACATGGCGGAACAACTGCCAATACCCTTTCGGCAGGAACCATGTGGCCAACAAACTCCATCTTGCATTGCTTCAAAAAATCCATCAGTTTCTGCTGTGTCTAACAGTTTTGCTGTTTTGGAGGGCATATGGCTGGGCATCTTGGATACTGAAGCTGGGATAAGCAATGGTCACATTCTCATCTTGGAAAGATCACAAGTGAAATGCACACATTACTGTCCAGTGAAATAGAATAAATGGATGTCGTTGACTCTTTCTACGTCTGAGAGAGAAGCCAAATAACTGTTTGGATTAAAACCGGATTGGGTAGCCAAGTTTGCTGTTAAAAGTTTAGGACGGGGATTGTTATGGGCTGAGACAGAAACATGGCCTCAGTTTCTACCGAAGCTAACTTAGCCCTCCATCCGCGCCCCACAAAATGACTTTGCTGTGTGGGGCACCTGCAAGCTGCTATACCGAGATCTACTTTTGGTTGTTGGGTTTAGTGTGCGGATGCTGAGTGCGGTTGGTGGCCTTGATATACAGGAGGTCAGGCTAGATGATCTGGTGGTTCCTTCTGACCTTAAACTCTCTGACTGGTTTAGCCAAATCAACCAAAATATGGATGATTTTTCATTCTTTATCAGCAGTAACGTCACTTATTTCCCATTCCAATTAGTTCCAGTTTCCATCGGTGCTTCCTTTTTGAATGGGGCTGGCTTCCAAACAAACTGTACCCCGAAAGGCCTTGCGGAGTTAGGCAGTTGAAATGCAGAGATAAATAATATTGGTGGGAGAAGGAAATGAACTGGCACAGCCAAAGAGGAGGGTGTTATGTTCATGGCATATGCGTAGAGAGTTAGGAACCCCCCCCCTTTCATTTATACTGTTCCTAGAGGTTTGCAAGGTAACACTACTTTATTTCTTAGAATCCAGAAACCTAACACAGCAACAACCAGAAACAGAGAGAGAGAAAGCAGGCTGCCCCCTAAGGCAGAGAGGCACTACTCAACCCACTTGCTCCAGGCTGGCTCTTTTCCAGACTGAATGCTGAAAGAGCCATATATCAGGCTTCCCGACACAGCCCCCTAGCCTGGAAGCAGAACCAGGAACCCCTTTACAACTTAAAGTGATAGCTTGTAATTTTAACACAGGTTTCAATACAGCACAGAAGGGAGGTGTTTCAGCTGAGATCTGAAATGAGGCAGAGGGAAGCAGACTGTTCCAGGCAGCAGAATGTGCAAGGGAGAAGGCTCTTGCACTAACGATTGGCTAGACTGTATGGAGGGACAAAGAGAGGAGAGTAATATTAATGCTAGCTGTGGTGGAGGAGAATGGAAAGATTGCTGGCCTATATTCTGTGGTGATGGACATGCTATACATAAGTTGCAAGGTGAAGCCGCAAAGGATTGTTTTTAAGAGGGATTTGTTTCTTTATGGTAGATAAAGGGGCCCCACAGGGATTTTTCCCTCCCCTTATTTGTTTTTGCCTTACAAAAATCTGCAGTTTCACTTCTGGTTTTGCAGGCAGCCATTTCTCACTGAAGTTAATGAGAGCTACAGGTGCTTGGTGGTGCTGGAAATCAGGTTGCTTCTGTTTTAGGCACCTAAATGTGGTTGTTGGATCTTAAATGTAAAAGCCCAGGTTTGAAAATGTTGGCCTGGTTCTTTGTAGCGGTTAAAATAAAAGGTTGGCCTGTTCTCGTCTGCACCTTCGTTTATTCAGCGAAGAAAAATTCAACGGTTGCTAATGCCGAAAGGAATGTCTCTGGGGCTGTGGGCTGTGTATCAAGCAGGGATCTTTATCAAAGATATGTGAGAGTTTTTAAGCTTTTATGAAACACAGGAGCACTGGGAAATGTATACATAACGAATCGTGCAGCCTTCTTTCTTGGTTCATGGTGAGACTTGCACTTGAAAGGGAAATGTGTGTCCCATTCATGTTCAGGAACCCTGAGGAGATGAGAGAGAGAGACTCTCTCTCTGCTGTTGTGAGATAAAGGTAGCTTAGTCTCCAGCTGTCTCATTTGTGAGGCAATTAGCTGCGGAGAGATTTCCTTAAGAAGGAAGCCTGCATAACGAGGCCGATTTTTATCACCAGTGGAAACCACAGCATGTTGCCAAGCCCCCGAGGAGGAGGACATCTTTGTTTTCAGGCTAGTCACACTAAATGGGGACTTGATGGGTGACTTACGGCTTCTCTACTCTTGAGATGCTACAGCGGCACAACTTCAGTGTAGACACTGCCTATGCCAGTGGGACGGGTTCTCCTGTTGGCGTAGGCAATCCACCTCCCCGAGAGGCAGAAGCTAGTCAACAGAAGAAATCTTCCGTTGCCCCAGCGCTGTCTACAGTGGGGGTCAGGTCAGCTTAACGAAGCTACTCAGGCTGTGGATTTTTCACACCCCTGAGTGACCTAGCTGGGTCAACCTCATTTTTAGTGTAGACCAGGCCTTAGTTCATAGGCCTGTTCATTGCTAATAGTTTGATGCAGCTGGTGCCAGACAGGGCTCCCCGGAGATCCCAATTCTGCAGGATTCCAGAGATACTAGGATCCATCCCAAGAAAGTGGGGCTGAGGCAGAAGCAGAGAACCTGCTATGTGGTATTTTTTGCTGTGCGATCCCTGAGGCCCCAGTGCCCTTCCTTTTGGGAGAAAACTCCTCCATCCTCCTAGTGCTTCCCATCTTCAGAGCACTTTTCCAACAACTCATTAAGAAAAGACTCATTGGCAAGATAGAAGATAGGAACCCAATTGGCTGATAGGGGAAGCGGTATGTAAAAAACAGAATGGCCAAAGAATGAACAAGCAGAGGAACAGCAAGTTCTGGAAGAAAGGAATGCCTTGGAAAGAACACCATTAAGGATGTGTCCCCGTGGAGAGTGTTACAAATCGCCTTGGACAGTTCATTCAGGACAGTTTAATTTAATGAGCCAATTTTAGATTTACAGATTTCCCATTGCATACTAGAGCAAATTCAAAGCATATCTTCCAAACAAAGTGTTCCTGTGCTGTCTTGCCCATATATAGAAGCAAAACCAAACTGGCAATTAAAACTGCAAAAGCTGCCAAGAGATAGGCAATCCAAAGTGATAAATATATAGGGAATGAGGGCAAACGTGCCTTTTAAGGCCTTGGAGAGCGAGCGAGCATGATCTATAGTATGCAGATGCCGCTGGAATATTGCTTTGCAGGTTCTGCAGTGAAAGTTTGATTTTTAAAGATCAAGAAGTTTGTGGATTTTGAATTTTCACCTGTTCCGATCCTCAGTACTAGAGCTGATTTTTGTTCTGCTCCCTAGCAGTGTATAATCTTTTTAGAAGGTTCACGTCCAAGTTCATAGTGAGCCTTCTCTGCTATCACTCTATTTCCTGGATGTTTTTGTAGCTTAGTCATCAGTTGCTGGTAGGTTCTGTTCTTGCAGCAAACAAAACAAAATAAAATAAAAAACAGAAGCAGTGTGCAATACAGAGATTGCAGGCCTCATTTTCATGATTGCCTGCTATGCTTGGTGTAGTCAGTGGGAGCTGTGGGTTCTCAGCACCTCTAAAAACCAGACAATGATGAAAAGCTCATTTTAGCTTTTGGGAAGATGGGACCTAACGCGTCTCAAGTTAAAGATGGGATCTAACGCTTCTCAAGTTATTTCTTTAGGCCAAATTCACCAAGGATTTCTGCTGTTTCACACCAGCAAACAGTTGCAAAACCTCTGACAATGCAAAGTGGCCACACCCTCTCATGTGGACAAAGGCAGGGTTGAAGAGGTCAAGAAGTGCCATTGCAGCCCTAAAAGAGGGCTCATGGACTAGTAGACAGGGCCTAGCTGACTGGTAAATCCATTGATTCAGTCATTCTCTGAAAGAAAAGGAGGACTTGTGGCACCTTAGAGACTAACCAATTTATTTGAGCATGAGCTTTCGTGAGCTACAGCTCACTTCATCGGATGCTGTAGCTCACGAAAGCTTATGCTCAAATAAATTGGTTAGTCTCTAAGGTGCCACAAGTCCTCCTGTTCTTTTTGTGAATACAGACTAACACGGCTGTTACTCTGAAACCTGTCATTCTCTGGATAATCTCCCCTTAGCATAGTTCCTGTTGAGACCAATGGGCTGTTTGACCAGCCTGTTGAGAGAAGTAGTGGAAATACTGCTTACCCTCCATAGGGCGGTCACTACACCTCCCTGTGCCAGCCATGCTGAATTCTCACCCTTTGCAATTAGTAGCAGGGGCCATGCGTCATCTGCAAGAGCTCATTTAGGTTTATTTGGTCCTGCCTCAGCACAGGAGGCTGGGCTAGATGACTTCTCAAGGTCCCTTCTAGCCCTACGTCTCTATGATTCTGTGATCTGTAGAGTCCTTTCTCACTGCTCAGGCTGGAAGACGAACAACGTTCCCATCAGTCTCCCTTCGTTCTTCCTTATTTTCCTAGTCATCAGAAAAAGGTCTTGGAACCCCAGCTAAATTAATTTACTTTATGATCTTTCAGAATTCCAGTATCTGCAAAACGGCCGTGCACGCTGGAGTCGTTAAAGATGAGAGTGGCGGTTACGTGGATGTAATGCCTGTGGACAAGAAGAAAAATTACATTGGCTCCTTGAAGAATGGCGTCCAATCTGAGAGGTAGGGTCACTTTTCTTTTTTGTGATCAGTTTGTGAAAATGTGGCTGATGGGAATTGAATATACAAGGTACGTGATTCGAACATGTCAGTGTAAACTCAGAGAAGCAAACGAACAAAAGAGTGTGTGTCATCCCTTCTTTGCCTTTTGCAGCTGAATGCATTACTCTTGGACTCTGTATATTAAGGATGTAATACTATTAAGCGTCTCCTTAGTTTACAAATTAGTTTAAACTAGTCAAAATATGAATACACTGTTAATAAATTTCACTGGGTATACAGCACTTTAAAATTTACTCTGGTTTTTAGCAAAGTCATTATTAATGTTGGGGGAGCAGTTTCACATGAGTTTTATCCTCAAACATTCTGGCAAATTAACACCACTGAAAAGATAAACACGTGGTCTGCATCTTTCATCGTACAGTCAGCTTTGTGGCTTTCACTTGGGTATTCCACTACTGAGTTCTGGGAAGTCTAATATATTTAATAGCATAAGAATATGAGAATGGCCATGCTGGGTCAGACCCATGGGTCCTTTAGCCCATGCTGCAGACGTTCATGCCTTCAAATCTATTACAGAGTAGTGGAGGACATGCATGGAATAAAGCTGGCATCTTCTTAAAACAAGGCCGGTGAGCTATCCGGGGGTCAGTTTGGATACAGTTGTTGTTCTGCATCAAATTTTTTGCAGTTACACTGTGCAAACGTTTTGTTTGTTTCAGTTTGTACATGAACACGCCCCCTCAAGATGTTTGCTCAGCCACTTGTCAATGGTGAATACATTAAATCCTTAACACACAAAAGAGGAACTAGATTCAAAAAGGCCCAGATTTTCGGATCTTGCTTTTCTGCAGACCTACATTGTCCTCTTACTCTGATGGAGCAAGGAAGTGCAGGCTTTAATGCCCAATTATGTGCCTGGCCGGTCTGTGGAATGTATCATTGGTGCAGTTGTATGTGAAACACACTTGAATTTAGGCACACATTTTGCACGTGCAGCACTCTGAAAATGCAACCTAACAGATTTAATAATCTCACTTAAATGCAAAGTGTGAAAACGGTCACAGTTCGGCTCAAGGGGAGGGGAGAATGAGACTCAGAGAAGCTGCCTGTGGTTAGTCCGTAGCGTTTGGGAATTGTGCTGATGGGAAATCTGTAGGGTTGCCATCACTAGTATGTGTGGGATGCAAAGTGCATTTACCAGGAAAAAAACCCTTTTTTTTTTTTTTAAATTGGAATTGGCAGTGGACTGGAAACTGCCACTGTTATGTTCTTCATAACAGTTTCTTGGAACACACAGTGTAATTAACATACAAGGAAGAATTTATTGGGTTAATTCCACCAGTCCAGCAGGAGAAGTGTCTGTTGCTCAGTCCTGTCAGCAGAAATGATTAGGAGGAAACGCAGTGTCCAGATTTCTTTCTTTCTCTCTCTCGCCCTCACTTCCCCCAGGGGTGCTGGACTGAGAAATATTTCCCAAGACAGTTTACATCAGGAATTAGTGAAAAGAGAGATCTCTAGAGCTGAGACTGTCTCCAGAGACCCAGCTGCTTTTATTTTTCCCCGTGGGTGCTCCGCTCCCACCCCGAGGCTCTGTCCCTTCCCCCAAGGCCCCACCCTTGCTCTATCTCTTCCTGCCCCCGTTCCACCCCCCCCAAGGCCCTGCCCTCACCCCGTCCCCACTCCACCCCATCCCCTGAGGTCCCCCTCCTGCCGCTTACTGCTCTCCGCTCTCACCCGAGCATCTCCTGCCAGCATCCAAACAGCTGATCGGTGGCCCCTACAAACAGCTGATTGGCGCTGCTGCCAAACAGCTGTGGCTTGTGGGTGCTGAGCACCCTTTATTTTTTTCCCATGAGTGGTTGAGCCCTTGAGCACCCATGGAGTCCGTGCTTATGGATGGCCCTCAACCTTTACACTTTTGCTTTTGGTGTGGTACTCATGGCCTCCTTGCCACTTGCACTGACTCCCTTGTCGTGGTGACGGCTCACCGGTCTCCCGTATTGAATCTTGTGGGAGGTGGTCATGTAGGTAGCAGCTTTTCAGTGCACTCTTAAGTTTCACCAGCTATGAATGCGTGCCTTTCTGTGAAAAATACATGCCTCAGGGCTCAGTGTGGTAATGGAAACTCCTGAACTGGGAGTAATGGAAGCTCAAGTGCTTCAGAAATTCAGAATGCAGATGTGCAAATAAACATGCATTCAAATCAAATGAATAATTGAAGCCACTGATCTCCTTACTGAAGTGACTATGTGGGGAGCTGCTGCATCTCCCTAAGGTTCATAATGATTGTTCTTTTTCAGCTTGAAGAGTCCCAGCGAAGGGATGGCTTTCCGAATTTTTTCCGTGAAGCAGTAAATTCCCCGGGAAGGTGCAAGTTTCTTCTGGAGAACAATCCACTGATCTTGAGGGACAGCAAAGTTCATTTGATGGCATCTGCTCTGAACACATTCTCCTTGCCGATTTCTTTCAGGGAAGAAAGATTCTGACTCAACTGTCCACGTCACATCTGCACCAGTTCAGCGTTTTGTTTTTTGTAAACTCTAGGGCATTCAGACTGTTGTAACTTCAAATTCCAAAAGCGGTGTGCTGAACAGCTTGAGTGTGGATTCATTTACAACAAACATCGGAACCCTGGCTGGTCCACAGATAGTGTTTTAGGTCTTGAAGTACCTGCCCCAATGGAAGTATCAACACATGGTTGGCAAGGTGGAATACATAGTGAAATATTGTGTGGATGGGGGGCCCTTTAAAACATAGTTTTAAAGCTGCTCCTTTTGTGGGGTGGGGCATACGACTTCTTTGGAACTGTTTGTATGGCAGGGTTGGCTTTTCTGTTTTAAAAGCAAAACCTTCGTGTTTACCTAATCAGCTCGCATGTGCATAGGAAACGTTGAGTCAGATCTGTGGCATATTGCATTAGGTCAAGTGGTGTCATGATGTAACATGAGGTCGGATGTCCGTGGCTGCCTGAAGGACTCTTGGAGATGAGGTTGTCTGAAAAATGTGGTGAAAATAAGAAAAGGTGATGACGATCCCCACCCCTGAGAAACAAGGACCCCAGCCAACCAAAAATGGGGCGTTGGTGTTTGCTGGCCAAACATTAGCAGTTAGTTAGGAATTTGGGTTTCCTATGAGAAGTTGTGGAATTAGCACTCCTGTCCTGGCACATCTCTGTATTATGCTACACACCGGGTTTTTTTTTTATTTACAGTTAAATGCAATTTATTGTTGTATACAGCAGTGCTGGTTTTGTCTGTAGTAGTTAAGCAGTGATAAAAAGTTAATCTTATTTTTGTTAGAAATGGGTGCAACTATATAAAGTATGTTCACTTTATCTTTATGAAGATTTTTTGTACAGTTCTGAGGATTTAAATATACGGCATGGGGTTGGATTGTTTGCTTGCATACAATCGATAGCATATAGTGATCTTAGCTTCCAACATGATTTCTGTGTCTGAGAGCATCTGGAATCAAAAGTGTTGTGTTTTTAAAACTTATAGGTCTTCTAATGAATTTATATTTAATAATTTGAGTCACACTGCTCCGAACAGCTGTTTAAATACATTGCATAGAATGGTTTAGAAGGAATTAAAACTAGTCACAAAATCAGCCTAGTATGAAACTGCCCTGTAAGATAAGATAGCAATCTTGTGATTTATGGCTGAAGCTAATTTGTTCACAACTTTTAGGGGGTTATTAGAATTGGTCTAAGCACAAAACTATTTTTCCCTTAATGGTCAGACATACAGTAACTTACATTACATTACAAGGCAACATAATCTTTATCTCTTTGGTTGATGTAAAAAGATATCCCTTCACTCTGTAACTCGATTTTAGTATGTAACATATGAGGAATATTTCACTTACTGTTACAATTATTTAGCCACTCTATCTGGCAGATGTTTCATGGCTTTCCATAGCCTTCCGATGTCCAGGCTATGTTTAAATTAAATTAAAGAGGGATAGGAAAACCAGCTATAAACCTATTCCAAAATGTAGACCAATAGCATTATATGGATAAGCACTTATTTTATTTAATTTTTAAACTCCATGAAATCAGCACGGAAATTACATTTGTCAGTCCCTTTGTTTCATAACTGAGGTTTCCTTTCCTTGTGAAATCTGAGTTTAAAAAGAGACCTTTCATAACTGAGCAGGTTTGCTCGTTTTCGAGAAGTTACACACAGCAAACCTATTTTTGGAATGGCTCTGGTAAACACCTAGTCTTTATTTATTTAATGTGGTCTTCTAAGGTATGTTGTGTTTGCTTTATAGTAAGGAAAACCAGTTACATTTTCAAGGTAAATTTATGTGACAAATAGCTGGAATGTGTCTTTAAAAAGTGCCTGTTAGGAAATGACTGAAATCTTGGCAGTGAGTTAAGTCAGGTTCCTTGTTTTGCCTATTATGAATGATAACATTGGAAACAGGCTAGTTTAATCCCACCACATTTTGAAGTATGAATCTGTGGCCTCCACAGGCCAAATAGGAGTTACACCTTCAATAGCTGAGGATAGAACTGGAAAAATGTAATAAGGATCAATCAATTGTCCACTGAAGTCAGTGGCAGCCTTTCCATTGAATTCATGGGTGTTGGATTGGGCTCATGTTTAGTTCTATTGTACATCCCAGTCAAAGTAGAACATCACTGCTCCATTACCCTGTTTGTGAGAATCAGTCATCTTGTAGAAGGAGGGAAAGAAATCTGGACTGGAATAACAGGAAAATCTGAGAATCACCAAGAAGCATATGTACAAATTCAAATGACCAAGAATTTATCTTTCTTACAAAAGAGGAAGGTGAAAAACATAAAAAGTGAAGTTGTGAATATAAAATAAATGATATCCTCATTCTATACCTTGAATTATCTACTGCCAAACAATTTGGATTTTCAGAAACTGGTATTAGCGTAAGTCTGTGTCTCTGGTTAGTTTTATAGGTGCTGTACAACAGATAAATCAGGATTTTGAGGAGCAACCATTCTTTGAGGTTCTGGGTGCTATTAGTTAAATAATATCTCTATCGTATTTAGGAAGGGTTACATCCTGCCTGGCATTATTAAGGCATATCTTTAGTTGTGTTCAATTGTATATACCAGCTGCCCATATTTAGGAGGAACAGGCTCTGTTTTTAGCCAAATATATACTGATTTTACATCCGTCTTTTCAAGCATTTTTCAATCTAATATGTTTCAATAGAGCTTCTAGGGGCAGTGTCCCCTTGTCTTTATATTATCAAATGCCCTGATTCAGCAAGGTTCTTAAGAATGTGCCTCACTTTAGGCATGTGAGTAGCCTCACTGATGTCAAGGGGGTCATATTTTTAAAGGTCTTTAGGTGCCTACCACTGAGCTCAACAGGCATTAGGCGCCTAAATACCTTGGAAAATCTGGGCCTAAGGGATCCAGTAGTTAAGCACCTCGCTGAATTGAGGCCTCATAGGCTTTCATTGCTGGCGAGTAAGTTTCATTTCAACACCAATATAATCAACCAGAAACATCATGTCACACAATTGCCACTGAAAAGAATCTGGTTCCACATGCTGGATTTCCAGAGAACATAACAAGTTTCGTTGGGAAACTTTGCAGAGTTACTGCAGTGCTTTCCTGAATCAGGGCCCCACGAGTAGTCCCACTGGAGTTAATGTGCATTGGAAGCAATCTAGGGCATAGTACCTGAAGTCAATGGGACCATTAACACAGTAAAGTGCTACTGAGCATGAGTTTGTGTGTCAGAATTTGGCCCCCATTTTGATTTTTTCATTATGCGGAGTGTGGATACAGGAGAACAACAAAGAGGGGAAAAACCCCACTAAAATATAAGAAGTCACTTTGGTTTTTATTTTAGTGTCACACTAAAATTTTAAGGCAATTGATGTTGGGAATTAGATCATTTGAAACCCCTCTCTAGTAACTGCATTTCTGTTGCTCTTACCTGGCTTTGAAGCAGCTATTGAGTTGAATAGCTATTGACCGTAGGCTGCCTCAGCCTGCAGTTTATGTATTTGCTTTTTTTCTATGAAAAACGGGTTTTTTGTTTTTACTACTTCCTGTGTACAAAAGTTTAGTGTAAATGGGTTTTGCCTTTGCATGATCTTTACGGGGCTGTCTTTTTGTTTATAAAACAATATTTTTTCTAAATACAAAACTGTTAAATATCTTTGTTTTGTTTTCTGAATTGTGAAATAAAACCCATACCAAAAACAGATGCCAACCCCTTGTTTTTAATGTTTAATTTTTCAATGGCTTTATTTAGGAGGCTGGCCTGGGCTACCTATTTTTATTTATTTATAGCACGCTAGCACCTGGGCACCCCAATTAAGATCCCGAGGTGCTCGGTGCTGTGCAAATGGGACAGCTACCATCTTGGCCGACGTACCGCGGATTGAATCAGGGACTTCCAAAGCTGAAAGCGTAAATCTTTAACTGAGAGGCCAAGCTCTGTAGCTGGGGTTGTAACAAACTCACATCTTCTGTCGATCGGGCACAGAGGGGAATCTATTATTTTGGGGGAGTTCTATGGCCTGTGATATACAGGAGGTCAAACTAGATCACAGTGGTCCATTCTGGCCTTGGAATCTATGAATCTACAATAGACACTGAACAGTAGGTTATATATAGGCCTGGTCTACCCTACAAAATTAGGTTGACTCATGTCTACACTCCATCTGACATAAATGCCCCATTACAACGACACAGTAAAACCACCTTCCCGAACCGTGTGGAGCCCTCATCGAGCTACCTAAGTCAACATAATGTGAGTGTAGACACTGCATGACACGTGGGTGTAGACACTGCACGACCTGTGCTATCCCTAACAGTTCTCCAACAGCTCAGGTCCCACACTGTCCTAATCCCTGTGACAGTGATTGCTCTGGCCACAGTTGTAAACCGCACTACTCATGAGTTATGGAGACTGGAAGCCACACAATTCCTTTAAAATCTCCCAAGTGTTTTGGAAATGTCTTTTCCTGATTGCCTACCTTGGTGGAGCACACCGAGCCGCGCTCCCTTGTTCTGCACAAGAGACCATGCGAGCTCCATTTGCTCAACCCATTCATGCCTGGAGTAGACAGGAGGTATTGGTTCGTGTGATCCTATGGGAGAGAAAAGGCTGTGTAAGGTCAGCTATGGACCAGCTGTAGAAATGTGGACATCTACAGAAAGATTGCACAGGAGTCTCAGGCAAAGCGGTAGGACAGGGATCTGCAGCAGTGTCACATGAAAGTGAAGGAACTGTGGAAGGCATATCATGAGGCCAGGGAGGCCAACAATCAATCTGAGGCTGAGCTGCAGACCTGTCTCTTTTACCATGAGCTGCATGCCATGCTTGATGGAGACCCACCAGCACCCCACAAACCACTGTGAACACCTTAAAGGTGCCTGAGACAGAGACCCCTGCCATGAACCGTGAGGAGGAGGAGGTGGGGAAGAAGGGGGTTGGGTCCAGCCAAGTCACAGAGCAGGACCTTTCGAGACTCCTCCACAGTCTAGCAAGCCAAGCCCAATGAAAGGGAAGGGACCTCGGCTGATAGTGTGCGTGCATTTTCCCTTAAAGTGTTTATATTTAAAGATGGCTCCCATCCTGTCCCCAAGGTATGACACAGGTATCAACTCTTCATTGTTTTACTCATCATATAAGAGGAGGCAGAATTGTTATCTGCTTTACATTCCCCTGTTGGGTTTGGCTGTTGGGCATGCAGAGCTGTTCATTTATGTACACAGGGATATCCCTTGTATCCAGGCATGCCAACGGGAGAGGGGGCCAAGGGGTTAATTGCCCATGGGCCTGGTGATTTAAAAGGGCCTGGGGGGATAGATACATATTTTTTTAATAAAAATTAAGATAAAAACCAAAAGAACTCCAGTTTCCTGCGGCTCAGTACAGAGCGCCGTCCCTCGTTGTGACAGTAACCATTTGCCAGCACACTTCTGCACCCTGCTGGTCTGGCAGAGCATCAGCAACAGCAGCCTGGGACCTGTGCAGCTTGCTGCCCCCTCTGGCTGCTTGGGAGCAGCTGTGCCTGCCGTGCTGGCTCTCCGTCTGCGGGGCTGAGGACAGGGAGACGCTGACCTGTGAGAGTCACAATGGACAATGTATGTGCACTGAAATGGACAGAAATTTTGCTGCCTTTCCACTTTCAAAGTCCCATCCCATTAATCTGTGTCAAAAGTTTGTAGCGCAAAGTTGGGCGTTGTTTTTCTGCACAGGTTTTTGCAACTCAATACCTTTCTATTTTTTGAAAATAAAATGATGGCTCACAACACATATTGAAGAATGAACAGTGGTACTCAAAGCACCCAGTAACTTGTAAATGTAGAGCGACAAAGGAAGCCCTCCTGGGTTCAAGAAAATACCCAGCTGTATTTATAAATGTACAGCGAGGGCTACACAATTCCTAACAGCACCCAACACTTCAGGCTGAGAGAACAGCTCAGCACAGAACGTTACTGTGGCTGAACGTCAAAGTGCCTTTCACAGGCTTCTTCAAGCTTTTGTAATGGCCTTTGTGTCCGGCTGTGCAGAGTCAGCAGACAGCCGCTCCACCTCCGTCGTCCACCTTGGGGGCAGCTTTTCTTCCTTTGCCTCACAGCTATTATACGGGACGCAACAGGCAGCTACAACCATTGGGATATTTTTCTCAGTGAGATCCAATCTAGTGAGTAAACGCTGCTAGCTTCCCTTAAATCTTTCAAAAGCACATTGGACAGTCATTCTGCATCTGCTGAGCTGGTACCTGAATCTTTCCTTGGTCCTGTCAACATAACAAGCGTACAGCTTCATGAGCCACAGGAGCAAGGGGTAGGCTGGGTCCCTCGGAATCGCTACAGGCATTTTGATATTGCCAATGGTAACCTGCTGGTCAGAACAGAATGTCCCTGCCTGCAATTTTCTGAACAGTCCTGTGTTCTGAAAGATCTGAGCATCGTGCCCTTTACCTGACAAGTCCACATTGATATCAGGGAAGTGTCTCTGGCGATCCACCAAGTCTTGCATAACTGTAGCAAAGTAGCCCTTTCCTGCTGATGTACTCTGTGGCAAGGTGGGCTGGTGTCAAAGTAGGACATGTGTGCCGTCTATTGCCCCACCGCAGTTCAGGAACCCCATTGCTGCAAAGCCATCCACTATGTCCTGTACATTGCTGAGAGTCAGAGTCCTGCATAGCAGGAGACAGTTAATGCCCCTGCACACTTGCATGACAATGGCTTCTCCTCTGGATTTTCCAACTCCAAAATGATTTCCTACTGACTGGTAACAATCTAGCATTCTAGCTTCCAGAAAGCTGTCTTCTCTCCTGTCGGGGAGGGAAACTATTTTTCCCTGTGTGGCCATAGACTTTAAAACATAATAGCATTAAGTATCCATATTTCCTCACATACATTTCATGATGATATTAATCACCAGTTTCATTAGCTTTCAGAAAATACCTAACTCTTATAATGCAGTAGTATTGTATACAATCAGTTGATTCAATTGCTTATCACTTGAGGTTCAGATTCCCTGTCTTTATAGACTGGTGAAGCTTTGCAATGGATTTGTCTGAAGGTTACTGTTCAAGCTGTGGGGAAGGTGACAAGGAGTCTGGTGGGGAAGGAAGCTCCATGCTGTTTCTTCCCCCACTTGCTAGCTTAATAGCTTTGTTTACCTAATATGTAAAAATGGACCATTTTTTGGCTGAAGATCAGGTTGGTCAGAGAATCAAAAACACATTCCTTTGTCTAGGGCAGACTTGTTTACCAACTTCCCTGGACATGCCTTGTTTAAACAAACTTTAGTCAGAGTTTTAGCCTATATCTATAACTCTTAATACTCACTGTGTACATACATCACACAGGAATATAAATGATCAGTGAGTTATTAGTTTTCAAATGATACTTTACGCAGTATATTTTGTACAAAGATTACAGTAATGTGTGGGATGCTTACTGTCACACACAGCCCCTCTAGCTGCTGCAATGTAGGCATACCCAAAGAGCTTCCACGCAGGGGTTTAATGCGGTTTAACTAGTCCACTTTAAATTCACACTGTTAGTTAATTTGGATTACTTTTCCTGAGTGCCCTGTGTAGACAATCCCATAGTGAAGTTTGTCTTCTTAGCTTGCAGCCAGACTGACATAATAGCTCTGAGGAGTATGAACTGCCCAATCACCTTTATGGGTTATTAACATTAAAAAAGATGACCCCCATAAATGGCAACAGCATTAACTATTTCACTGCTCATTATTTTAGCAAAGCACTTCTGGTAGCTAATGTGCTTATTCCACAATCCCAAACTGCCTCCTCCACCTCCCAGATGCAAAAGCCCCTAACAGTCCCCCTACTCAGTTCCCCAAACTCACAATCAATGCAAAAACCGGTGGCCCATTGGAAATGTGGGCAGGGTCATATAAATTGAATGTAATAGCAAAATAAATACACAGGGGCCGCCATGTGGATTGTAATAGTCGTTTCCACATTTAATTAATTAAAAACCCTCTGTGTCATCTTAAACAAAACTCCTGTAGAATTTCTGGTCTTCTGCACCAGGGTGCTGCAAAACACCCAGGGCCCTTGCTGCAAAACTGAGGTCTAGCTTGCCAGAGGGGGAACCTAGGGCCTTGTCCACAGTCTTATTACTCTCTCACTGATATCTCTGACCAGAACCTCCACTGGTGTCAGTTGCCATTAACTTCAGTGGAGCTATGACAACTGATACCAGCAGAGCATCTGCCCCTTTGTCTTATCTCTTCTTAAGCAACATGTTCTACCATGCACCTGCCCACAAAAGCTATTCATAGCATGAGCTATCTGCAACCTATACTGCTATTGCCTATTAGCGCTGTAAGTATGAGCCAGATGTGCAAAGGCCCAGGGCAAAACCCATTGGTCAAAAAAAAAAAAAAAAAGGAGAGAATAAGAAAAAGCATATTTGTGCTCCTCTACAGTTTTTTAGCCCAATTTTTCCATCTTGTTGGCTTTGCACCTTGGTTCCACCTTTTCCGCTTGCTCTGCCCTGGTTACAGCCCTGGGGAAAATACCGCAGGTTCTCTCTCTCACACCTAATATAACAAAGAAACCAGCCTTTTGAAATGGGGGGGATCTCAACCTGAGAATTTGGTCAGCCCTGTTGTTGGGAACATGGGGTAAGGATTTTACCATGAACCAAGTCTAGCTTGTTAAGTGTTGGCTACTAGAAAGTGTTTTATCTTAATTTCTCTTGTAACCA